TGTTGCTCAAAGATGGGGCTCTACTACTGAGTTCATTTTGAGGGGATTTTGTTTGTTTGTTGCAGGTTAGCTTGGAAATAGAGTATCACAGACTTTTCTACCATGCTGGTTTTGAACCTCGACCCTCGATCCCATCTTCTTGAGTAGCTAGGATTATAGATGTGAGCCACAAATGCCTGGTTACTATCAAATCTTTTTTTCTTTTTTCAAATAAGATCATTGTTGGAAGAGGTGTTACTCCATATTTACACTACAGAATTCCAAGTGTGACTAGAAAATTAATCACCATTCATTCCCAGGTCTCAGCTGACCGGTGTGAATAATGCATTTGCCTGGATTGGATTAATATCAAGTCTTAATGAAGATCTTTTCCCAGTGGTAGAAGTTGTGTAAGATTGTGTACGATACTTTGGCAATAGCTAATAAAACTGAGTGCCAATTCATCCTGAGGTTAAACAATTCTTGAGTAATACTCTAGTGCTTCTTTTATTTTTCTTTTTTTTTTTAAACTCTAGGACTTCTGTATCAAAAGCTCATACAGATAGCAGAACTTTACTACCATCTTTAGTACAACTGAAATGGGCACAATCAGTTCATTTTTTCAGTGGTTTCTGTTCAATCATGAAAGTAAAGGTAAGACCCACTACCATCAACATCAAATAGTTATGAAGCAAATCACCACAGAACCTTCAGCAGGATGAATTTATAGAAAGTTAGAACCAGACAAAATGAAACCACGTGCTACCTGTGCTTTTACTGTATGCGAGGATATCCTTAAAGAAAGGTAAGGCACTGAGATTGATGGCTTAAGCCTGTCATCCTTGCTGCCTTGGAAGCAAAGATTTGAGAATGAAGTTCATATATATATATATATAGAGAGAGAGAGAGAGAGAGAGAGAGATTGTTTATGTAAAGATATATTGTGTATATAGATATAAGTTTATAATAAAAGAACTATGTTTATTTTATTTTAATAAATATAAAAGGGGGAAGAACAATCCTCATTTAATAATACCTGATGAGAATGAAAAATCAAGCCATAAACTTGAGAATATACAAATGATTTGCATCTAAACTATATATAATATATATACTAATTTTTATGTCTTCAAAATGATCAATAAGAAAAACATAGTTCAATAGAAAAATGAGCAAGAGATATGAACAAGAAGACTACATAAATATATATATATATATACATATGTATCTCTCTATATATATAGATAGATAGATATGTTTGAGAGACTTCATCTCCAATGGCTGGATGTGGTAAGCAGCACTCATACAAGCTCAAGGAGGGTCCAGTGACCGGGCACAATGTACACGCCTACCATTCCAGAGACCAGGGGAAACACAAGAAGGAGGATCCAAACAAGTCTAGCCTGGCCATCAATCAAGAGCTTTCCTTGAAAATCAGCAATTCAGAGGAGTGGCTCAAGTAGTAGAAGAGCTGCCTAGCAAGTGAAAGACTCTGAGTTCAAACCCCAGTACCACCCTTTTCTCACTTCCCTACCTCCTTCCCCCAAAGAAATAGAAAACAAGAAAAGAAATCTGAGATAATAGTAATTGTAAAGCAAGTAGTAATTGTCCATGTGCATGAGGAAGGGTCCTAAGAGGAGCATATACATACAGCAGGTGTCTAATGATTACAGTATGCTCGCTCTTAAGCTGGGAAGAAGATAAATATTTTATTATTATATAAAATATAGGATATAGTTTACCCAAAGAAGTTTCTCTTCCAGAGGTTTGGACGTATATAAACACATATACACACTCACATCCATACACACACTTACACACACACACCTACACATACACATACACACATGCATGCTTAGAATACATGGTATTCTAATTATCTTCATGCTCTCCATTGTTCAGGCTTCTGACAAATGGGCTGCTATTTCCTTCATAAATGTGGAGATGACATTTGTATCCTTATGGAACCTGTGATCTGAACCAGAAAACGTCATTAAGTGAAGACAAAAATGAGAGATTTTTGTGATTGAAAAGTAATAAACAACAAATCAGTATTTCATGGAAATGGTGGCCCTAATCAAAGTCCATTTATGCATATATATATATATGTACATTAATTTGAAATAAAACTGATAAAGTAATATATGCTCATAAATAAAAGATTGGTTTTGAAAAAAGAAGTCATTGCTTCAAAAACATTGGATTGAATCCATATTCTATTAGAAAAAAAGAAATTGCACAAAAATGTGCCAAAAATTTTGGAGGCTGCTTATTTAAAGTATAGTATAAAGATTTTTTTTCTCTTAGGAGAGAAACACAAAGGCACAATGCCTATGTGTCTCTTTATATTTATATAAAATTATATATATACATATAGATATCAAAATGAACTTCAAGATATTGAAACGAGATCTCTCCTTTTTTAATTGTTATTTCTTGATGATTCTGTCTTTTCTCTATGTATGGTGTATTCATGTATATATCTTGGGGAGAAAGGCACAGAACTCAAGTGAAAAACTGCAGCAGTGGAATGCACTGGGCACTCATGAAAGTGAAGTGTACAACTCGTAGGTGGAGACAGGAGGGAGGGGCTGGGGAAAAGCAAAGCAACAGAAGACACTGTATGGAAGGAAATGAATTAATTACATGATTCATGTTATTGTAATCCCCCTATACATCATTTTTGTAGTAACAGTAAAGTAAACTAGTTAAAAAATATATCTGATAGGCTTGGAAGGTGGCTCAGTGGTAAAATGCTTGCCATGCATGTATGAAGCCCTGAGTTCGATTCCTCAGCACTACAGAAAAAAGTGGTGCTGTGGCTCAAGCGGTAGAGCTCTAGCCTTAAGCTGAAGAGCTGAGGGACAGCACCTACGCCCAGAGTTCAGGCCGCACAACTGACCAAAAAAATTGATTAATTTTTATTCCAATTTCTTTTTGTTGTTCTTGTTGGTTATGGGGCTTAAACTCTGGGCCTGGGCGCTGTCCCTCAACTCTTCAGATCAAGGTGAGCGCTCTACCACTTGAGCCACAGCACCACTAAAAAAATTAGTTAATTTTTAAAAATATATCTGAAACCATCTGAAGTCTCATTTAAAATATCCAGGTCACTTAACACAGGTTTCAAAGCCCTCACCATTCTGAATGCCTGGGTGTGTGTATTCGCAATTGGCATAATGATTCTTGTAGCTTGAATTGAAATCCTTTGATAATATTAATCTGTTTCCTTCCAAGCCTCTATTGCCAACAGTGGCAGAAAATTGTAGTTTTTCCTGCCTTTCTTCTAGAAGTCACTAGCTGGCAAGTATGAAGAATGACTCAATCAGCCTCTACTCTTTCTTCAGTTCAGTCTTGATGGTGCAAAAACTAAGTATCTCAGAGCTGGGAAGGTGACTCAGTGGTAGAGTGCTTGCCTCACATGCATAAGGTCCTGGGGTTGATTCCTCAGCACCACATAAACAGAAGAAAGAAAAAAAAATAAAAGCTGGAAGTGGTGCTGTGGCTCCTAGGGTGCTAACCTTGAGCTGAAGAGCTGAGAGACAGCTCCCAGGCTCAGAGTTCAGCCCCACAACCGACAAAAAAAAAAAAAAAAACCTAAGTATCTCAAACTCATCAGCAACTTATTTCTAATTTCTAGACATACACCAAATTATTCCAAGTAGATGTGTTTGAGAGGCATTTGTGATGGCCACTGTTGCTGAAGCAGCTTCCTGATTCCTTGAATCATAGCTGAGAAGAATCAAGTTCATGATGTCTGTGACTTCCTGACGTGTTGTCTTCTGAACCCACTGCTCTTAGCATTCTCCGTCTTTGTACATGAACCCCAGCTTGAGTAGACTCTCCTTCACCATTAGCAATTAGCTGGACTGTCCAAATATGTGATAGTATTTCAGTTACATAAATGTAACTCATATATTTGTTTTTGAAACTCCAGATCTTTATGTTTATTTCAACCATACAGGAACACTGCTGAATTTCAATAGAAAGAAAAGAAAGAAAGAAGAAAAGAGGGAAGGGAGGAAGGAAGAAATAAAAAAGGGAAGGAAGGAAGGAAGAAATAAAAGAAAATGAAAGTGTTTTTCCTACATAAGAGAACAAACATATAATCTCTTGTCCTGGAAATTCCCTGGCGGCCTTCTCTTCTTCTTCTTCTTCTTCTTCTTCTTCTTCTTCTTCTTCTTCTTCTTCTTCTTCCTCTTCTTCTTCCTCTTCTTCTTCCTCCTCCTCCTCCTCCTCCTCCTCCTCCTCCTCCTCCTCCTCCTCCTCCTCCTCCTCCTCCTCCTCCTCCTCCTCCTCCTCCTCCTCCTCCTCCTCCTCCTCCTCCTCCTTCTTCCTCCTCCTCCTCCCTTTCTTCCTCCCTTCCTTCCTCCCTTCCTTCCTTCCTCCTTCTCCTCCTCCTCCTTCTTCTCCTTCTCCTTCTTCCTCCTCCTCTTCCTCCTCCTTTTCCTCCCCTTCTCTTTCTTCTCCTTCTCTTCCTCCTCCTCTTCCTCCTCCTCCTCCTCTTTCCCTTCCTGTTTTTCATTTGACACTGCAGTTTGTCTAACTCAAATCCAAAATGATGCCATTCCAACATGCAGATTTTCTATGCTTCAAGTTTTTGTTTCCTGTCCCCCGTCTCCGTGAACCCTTTCAGTCTATCTCAATTCGGACGAACAAAACTCAAATACTCAGTCTCTTTACAATAAAAAATGTACATTTAAAAAAAAAGGTTATCCTGTGGAACGGACGGGGAGCCGTTTTGGTTTTTTTGTTGTGTTTTGTTTTTTTGAGATCCATTTCTGCAGTTCACACTTTCTTCTTTTTTTAACCAGGATTCCCCCCTTCCCACCCCGCAACCTTGGCACACCCCCAGGCCCATTTGTAAAATCCGATTTCTGCCCGGGAGCAGGAAAGGAGGACTTAGAGGCGTGCTTCCGACTCACGTGTCGAGACACGGGCCGGAGACTCCCGGGTGTTAAGCACTTCCCGCCGTCTTTCAAGCCCTGCCCAGACCCACCCGCCCTGCTGTTTCTGGGAAACCGAGACTCAAGACTCAGGGCATTCGCCGCGAGAGCAGCCGGGTGTGAAGCAGCGGTCCTGGGTTTCACGCTGGTCACCATTTAGAGGGGGACAGGTGGGAGCCGCTCCCCGCTTCGGATCTGGCCTTCAGCCCCCTCCTCTTTCTTCCAGCCCCAGCAAGTTGTATTCTGCAGAGACAAGGGGACCCCAGGATCTCCAGGGTCCCCAGAAGCAGAAGATTCCTGGAGGGACTCCTCGCTTCCAGCAGCAGGTGCCACCACAGCAGGATCTGGGGGAGACACCCCGTCCTTAGGTGAGTTTCCTCTTGGATTCCCGCAGGGAAGGTTCTGGGCCCACAGCACCCCCCCCGGGGGGTGGGGGGGACCCTGGGTTTCTTCGGATCTGTTCAAGGAGGGGAGGGAGGATGCGCAGACGTCCCAGTCTGACAAGCCCAACCTTAGAACTTTATGGAAAATGTTTGCTCACTTGGACTTCCCTGTGTGTAAGTTGCTCGTGCGTGCAAGTGGTCTGGAACAGCTTTTCCCGAGTGTGCTTCTCCCCCCGCAAGATAAACTCACATGAGGAACATGGCTACTGGCTCTGGTTTTCAGATGCCTGCGGCCATTTGGGGAAATGAAACCCGTCCACCCGCCCACCACTGCCGGCTCCTGGCTTCCTCTGCCAGCCTGCCTGCCTGCCCGCTGGGCCCGTCCAACACAAGTTATTCCACGAATCTCTTCTAGGGACTACGAAGTCGCAAACAAAAATTGTTAGTATAAAGCAATTCTACAAAGGGACTTCATTGAGAAATTTACAACATGCTTAAAATGTACATTGATCAAGTTCATTCCTTCTGCTACTTCTCTCTACTGTCTCTCTGTCTCTGTCTTTGTGTGTGTGTCTCTTTGACTGTCTCTCTGTCTCTCTCTGACTGTCTCTCTGTAAGGCTAGCTCTCTACCACTCCAGCAAAATTCGCACTTCCGGCCTTAATGTTGGTTAATTACAGATGGGTCTCATAGACTTTCCTGCCCAGGCTGGTTACAAACCGCAATCTTCAGATCTCAGGTTCTTGAGTAGCTAAGATTGCAGTCTCGAGAGAGCCACTGGTGCCTAGCTGTTACAGTCATAAACAGTTTTAATGGGTTTCACGGTGCTGTTTTCATACTTATGGATAATGTATTTCTATATATTCACCCCTGCTCACTTTCCCCTCTTCCCCTCTCCAAACAGTTCTCTTTTTATATGTCCTATTATTATTTTTGGTGTCAGTCTTGGGTCTTGAACTTAGAGCTTGGGCACTGTCCCCTAATCTTTTTTTGCTCAAGGCTAGTGCTCTACCATATGAGCCACAGCTCCACTTCTGGCTTTTTGATAGTTAGTTGGAAATAGGTAAGTCTCATGAACTTTCCTACCCTGGCTTTCAAACTGCTCTCCCCAGATCTCAGCTTCCTGAATAGCTAGGATTACAGGCATGAGCCACTGACCCCTGGCTTCATATTGTTATTTTTAGATGTCTATCTTTGTTGTTATGGAGTAACTGCCTCAAAGATCCAACTGCTATTAAAGAGAAAGCATCAAAGAACAGGTTACAACCTAAGACTTTGTGAGCCCTTGCTTCAAAATCCAAATTCTGATTTTGTTTTTGTGTCTGTGTAAAAGTTCACAGGGAACTTTGTTTCCCAGTCTGTTTCTCTGGATGGAGCTGGGGTCTATGAAATTCAAGTTTTGTTTTATACTAGTAGGGTCATCTGATGATTTTCTCTGTAGGGTAGGAGGGTAGGAGGGTTTGGAGAGAAAAGGCAGACCGGTTTGGAAGTGGCTATCTAGTCAGCAATATGAAATTCTTAGTCTCCCTTCCATCTGGTCTAATCTAACACAAACGAACTCATTGGTTACATTCATGGATTGGCTCTTGTTTACCTGCCTGAGATGATTATACAAGTGCTCTCTGATTGGTCAGGCTCTGAAGGCCTCCTCCAATAGGAGCTGACCTGCGCTGGGCACTAGATTTGAATATAGATGCTTGCTAAAACACCAGGAATATAGTGGGGTTGGAGAGAGTACAGGGTGTAGATTGGGGTGCAGTTGCCCTGGAGCCTGATCTGGAGGCCTGAGCCAGAAGTACTACCCTCCTGGAGGACCACAAGCATCCCAGCGTGCTTCAGCCTGTGCTTCTTGTCTAACTGTGGCACTAGGGAAAGAGAGGGGGTAGACTGGAGAGAAGCTCAGAGCAGCCATAATCAGCCCAACATTGAAGAGACTGTTTTAGCTAGAGAGAAAGTAAAAATAGCAAGAGCCAGAAAGTGCTAGAAAGAACAAGAGCCAGCTAGCAGGAGACCTAGAGAAAGCAGGAAATGGCAGGATGTCAGGGTAGAGAGGGAAACCTGTTGGTAAAGAAGGCCAGAGGCTAGAGACCTAGAAGTAAGAGTGGGGCAGAGAGGGGCAAGAGGGTAAGAAGAGAGAGGGTAGATGACAAAAGAGAGGAGGGAGAGAAATCCCAGGGGATCTGTCTGGTGGGGTGGAGAGGCAACCTAGGTTAGGTTGTATTGTTTTCTTCCTTTACTGCAAGAAGTAAAATGAAACCTTGAGTTCAGTAGAACCTTGACTTCTCCAACTTTAAAACGGCTTGGACTTTACAAGGCACCAGTGGCTCACTCCTGTCATCCTAGTTTACTCAGAAGGCTGAGATCTGAGGATCGTAGTTTGAAGCCAGCCCAGGCAGGAAAGTCGGTGGTGGGGTTTGAATCTTGGGCCTGGGCACCATCCCTGAACTCTTCAGCTCAAGGCTAGTGCTCTGCCACTTTGAGCTACAGTACCACTTCCTGTGAGACTCTTATCTCCAGTTAATCACAGAAGAAGCCAGAAGTGGTGCTGTAGCTTAAAGAGTGCTAGTCCTGAGATAAAAGGAGCTTAGGGACAACACCCAAGCCCAAAGTTCAAGGGCCAGGATTGGCCAAAAAAAGGGGAGGGGGCAGGGAGGTTGGACTAGGATAGCTAAAAAACACTTCGCATATTGATGATATAACTTGGTTCAGTCTGGATTCTGGAAAGAAAAGCGGTGGCTGATAATAGGGTGATTGCTCAGGTACAAGCCAGTGAACTGCAAGGTTTCTGTTTCTTTCTGCAGCTTTATTTGTGTTTTGGTGTGTGTAAGTTCATCACTTTGAGTCCTTTTTCAAACTTCAAAAGTGAGTCCACAGCAACAGACACAGGAAACCCCTAAATCTTCTTCCTTGTCCAGCAATAGACAGAGATCTTATAGCACAGCCCAGTTCCTCAGTTATCTATTTTGGTTCTTCCAGATTCTCTGCTGTCTAAAAAAGTCTTCCCATGGTTAACAGTACATAATGCTAATGTAAGAGTAGCAATATTTCCCGAGGTACCTATGTCACACCAGTATTTACATGTTTTCATCTCCTCAGCAGAAGAGATTGGTTCTAACCCTGCTACCTTCTGAGAATAAAGAAGAGGGGGAAAAGTACTTAATCAGAAATTACAAGATCATACAGCTAGCAGGTGCTTCATAGTTGTACACATGGTATACACATGGCCTTATCAATACTAGTGTTAGCTAGGCACAAGTGGCTCACCCCTGTAATGCTAGCTACTCAGAAGGTTGAGATCTGAGGGTCATGGTTTTCAGTTAGCCAAGTCAGGAAGGTCTGTAAGACTCCAGTTAACAACCAAAAAGCTGGAAGTGATCCTTAAATTGTAGAGTGCCAGCCTTGAGGGGAAAAGACAGAGTCTAGGCCCTGTAGCCAGTGAAGAAAGGAAGAAGGAAGGGAGGAGGGAGGAAGGAAGGAAGGAAGGAAGGAAAAAAGGAAGGGAGGGAGGAAGGAAGGAAGGAAAGAAGGAAGGAAGGAAGGAAGGAAGGAAAGGAAACCACTGACAGTGCATCTTCAAGCTTGCTTTCTCATTTAAAACCATCGCCTCTTTTCACAAACAGGAAACTGAGATTCCAAGAGAACAAGTAGCTCTCCTTAGTAGTGTTCTGCCAATGAGAAGGGCAGCGTTGTGAGCATAAGCACAGTCCAGATGACGTCCACCTGACCAGAAGTACAGGGAATAGTTGATCAACAGAGAGAAGAATCAACTTTTGAGATCAAAAACTTTTGATCTGAGCAAACCAAAACATTTTCCAGAACATAAAAGGGCCTTAAAAGGTATAATTATCAGAAGGGTGAGATCTAAGGATCAAGATTCAAAGCTAATCCAGATAAGAAAGTCTATGAGACTCTTGATCTTCAGTTAATCAGCAAAAAGCTGGAAGTGGAGCTGTGGCTCTAGTGATAGAGCACCTGCTCTGAGTGGGAAAGCTAAGCAAGAGCCAGAGGCCCTGAGTTCAAACTCCACTGGACCTAAAAATCACTTGTGAGATGTAACCAACTTTCTAAAGTGGTGATGGGAATTAGCAGTTAAGATTTTTATTTTGGTAAAGTCTTAGCATGATACCTGAAAATAGTGTTCTGTAATTCTGTTGTGAAGGTGATGGTACTTGGATAAACTCTCTGTCTAGGAAGAGAAGTGTAGAGCTAAAGAGAAAAAGTAGGGTATGGGGAGCTTAAATAAATGTATCATCTTTTTCTCTGTATGATTAATGACAGTTGTGACAATGTTGCTGTAACTTGGACTTTTTTGACATTAACCTTTCAGTTGAACCATCTGTTTCCTCTTGGAGTCATCATGAGCAGTAAGAAACGCAAGTCACAGAAAATCACATTTGATGCAAGGAATAATATGAAGATCAAACATTACTTTTCTCAGGTATGTCAGTAATACCAGAGCAGACTTTACCATCTTTCTGTCCTGATTGCACAGTTCTTCCTACCAAGGAAGTTGTCTCGTGGTGTATTAGGAAGCATCCATAAATTAAATTTATTCTCATCTACTTTATTTTGTTTTGGTGAATGCAAGTGGGGAAGGGAATTTTAATACAAAATTTGCTCATATCAAAGCAGCCTTTAACACAAAAGTAATCTGAAAATTTCCATCACCATCCTCAGCAACTTTTAATAGCATTCACTTCAAGAAATGTCCTTACTGGACTATTGAATCAAGAAATGTTTTGAAGAATGTCCTATATAGTAGTTAATGATATTAGAGATTAATCATTGATAATGAAAATTATGCCACCACCGGTTTTACTACTAGATTAGCTAGTTAAGTTATTCACAATCTGTTGTGCTAGTATACTAAATAAAATATGTATGAACTTTTCCAGTTATGTGAAATATCAGATATTTTACTATGTGTTTTATCCACTTTCAGTCTTGTAAGATGGGCATTATTGGAACCAAAGAATACAGAATAAAATGAAATTCTCAACCAAAAAAGCAGCCTTTAATAATAGGGGGAAAAAATGTTTGCAATGCTTTCTAAACCACAGTATAAATATCAAGTGCAATAATCTTACGTTTGTCAGAAAAATGCACCAATGTATAGTATGAAAAACTAACTTGACTGAGGTGAAGAGCGCTTATCTTATAATTTGGGAATCTCACATTAAACATGGGTCTAAGACTCTTAACAGGTTTTTAAATATTGGTTCTGCATTTCCTATAGAAATTCTGCAAACAGCACAGTAAAGGTGCCTTACGCCTATAACCCTAACTACTCAGAAGGCTGAGATTGAGGATCACAGTGTGAAGCCAGCCCAGGCAGGAAAGTCCATGAGACGCTTATCTCCAATAATAAACTACTCAGAAAAAGCTAGAAGTGGTGCTGTGGCTCAAGTGCTAGAGCACTAGTCTTGAGTAAAAGAAGTTGAGCACCAGGTGATGAGTTCAAGCCCCAAGACTGGCACCAAAAAAAAAAGGGGAAAACAAAAGACTAGGGTTGTATTCCAGAGTTTAAAAAACTATCAACTATTTCTTTTTAGATACCCAAAGAGGAACAGAATAGTCCCAGTACTTCTCAAATGAAAGTAGAATCTAGAAAAAGACCAAGTGATATAACTAACACCATTGAGCAAACATCCCATCTGCCTAAGAGCAAGCCACAAGACCTGACCGCCACCCCAAAAAAGAAAATTGAAATTACCTTGGATGTAAACATCAGGAAACACAAAAGCATGAAATACACACTTATCCACGATGAGAAGGAGAGCTTATACAAGGGACTTGTCACTCTTGACGCAGTCAAAACAGAGATAGATGCTCGGCCAGGCCAGGAAATGCTGGTCCGTGGTACAAAAGGAATCGAAGGGTACCTAAACCTTGGAATGCCCCTCCACTGTTTTCCTGAAAAGAACCACGTAGAAATTACATTTTTTAAAAGTAGTAATGAACAGAAAGAATATAAACAGATGTCTGGCCGGCATGACCACGCCTCTACTGAGTGTGTGAAATTTTACATTCATGCAATTGGGACGAGGGTAAAAAAGATTGTTCGGTGTAGAAAGATTCACAATGAAAGAAGAAAACTCTGTGTCTTTGGTTTCAAAGGAGAAACCATCAAAGACACTCTGTGCAAAGATGGCAGATTTTGTGCCCTTATAGAGAAGGAGAGCTGGAGACTCATCGGTGACCTGGATTCCATCATCGAAAGCACCCAGCCCGTGGATGAGCTGGAGGGCCAGCTCTTTCAGGTTGAGGTTGAAAGACAGGCAAAGCGGAAAGCAACAGCACCTGCTCCGAATCTGGAGCCGGAGGAGAAGGTGCTTAAAGAGTATATCGTGGACGAGTACCCCAGTCTGAGAAGCGAAAGTAAAAAAATCAGAGAATACATCAAGGAAAAAGCAGAACAAAGAAAGAAGGGAAAGAAGACATCACTGTTTACACTGCATAGGAGAAACTTTGGAAAACTGACCAAAAACTCGACTCTGGTGAAAGTCCACAAATTTCTTTCCCAGCTAGGTGACTCTGTTGGGTTCCTACTGTGGGATAATAATGGAAATACGGGTTGTGCCACCTGCTTTGTGTTTTCGGGACCGTTCATTCTCACTTGTCGGCATGTCATAAATGACATTGTGGGGAAAGGGATAGAGCCAAGTCAGTGGGCAGACATAATCGGTCAGTGTGTCAAGGTGATCTTTAGTTATGAAGAGAGTCTAGTAAAAGAAGAGAACTGCTTTTTCCTTGAACCTTGGTTTCAGATATCAGATGGAACTCTTGACTATGCTGTGCTGAAACTGAAGGCAGATGGCCAGCCAGTGCCCCTGGGGCTACGAGATAAAATTGCCCCTTTACCACTCAATGGGTTGATGTACATCATTGGCCATCCACAGGGAGAGAGCAAGAGGACCGATGCTTGTGCAGTGATCCCTCAGAGTGAACGAGAACAAAAATACAAGGAAAATATTCAGGCAGGAGAAGCAGTAGGCTGCAACTTTCCCCCACACTTTGTTCACATGCACACGCAAAACAGTTTCCAGAAGATAGCTCACAACCCTGATGTGTTGACTTATGACACTACTTTTTATTGGGGATCTTCTGGCTCCCCCGTGTTTGATTCCCAAGGTTCCCTAGTGGCCATGCACACAGCTGGCATCACCTGTGAGTACCAGCATGGGATTCTCAATATCATTGAGTTTGGCTCTTCCATGGAATCCATCCTCTCTGATATGAAGCAGAAAGATGAGGCATGGTACAATGAAGTGTGCGTCCAGCCACAGGATGTGGAAATGTTAAGTCAAGACTATTGACTGCTGAGATGTCATTTAGCTTGCAGGGAATTGTCCATGGGGATGTTAATACATAGGCTGTGAGGATGGTTTTCTAGCTTCCAAACAGGCCATAACCCATAGCATTGATGTTTATAGAACAAGCATATTGGGTATCAGGCATTTTTTTTCTAAGTCCATGAAGGAACTGATCTAAAGAACTTTAGGTGGTAGACTATTATACATGTATTCAATCATTTATAACTAGCAGTATGGGCTCCTGGATATACTTAAACTTTGGTGACAATTCACTATTGCTTTGTTTTACTGCTCAAATTGTTCTCATTTTGGCCAGGGTGATTGCTTTTTTTATTTTTTTGGCTGGTTCTGGGCTTAAACTCAGGGCCTAGGTGCTGTCCCTGAACTCTCTCAGCTCAAGGCACACTCCTCTACCACTTGAGCCACATTTACACCTTTTTTTTCTTTTTTTTGGTGGCTAATTGGAGATAAGACTCTCACAGATTTTCCTTCCAGGCTGGTTTTGAACCATAATCTTCTAATCTCAGCCTCTTGAGTAATTAGGCTTATAGCACGTGGCTACATTTTTTTTTTTTTTTTTTGGTTGGTCATGGGGCTTGAACTCGGCCTGGGCACTGTCCCTGAACTCTTCAGCTCAAGGCTAGCGTTATACCACTTGAGCCACAGCACCACTTCCAGCTTTTTTCTGTTTATATGGTGCTGAGGAATCAAACCCAGGGCCTCATGCATGGGAGGCAAGCGCTCTACCACTGAGCCACCTTCCCAGCCCCACCCCTTTTTTAAATACTAGTGATTACTTTTAGTGCAATATATTCTGACAATATGCTTTCTTTATTTTTTATAAGGTGCTTTAAGCTTTTATTGTATGTTTCCTATGCTACAATCAACTCTCCCTTCAGGATCTCTAAGAAACTAAGATCTGGACACTCGATGTGTTTGTTGCTGTTAGGATATTATCTCCTTCAGTCTTCTCAGCTGATAGAGGACACAATGTCTCAAAGAATTATATGGCCTTTGCATCCGTTGTGCAGATAAGTTCAGTTTCTCTTAGCAGGGACAAGACTCAGTCACCCTAGATAGTTTCCACATGTGTACTTTTTTCCAGTTCCTCAAAGCAGTCCACGCAGATAGCTGCCTCGTATAACGTCTCTCTGGTGGCCATCTCTCTGTGGACAGCTACCTGCAGCCTGCATGACCGAAGATTCCTTCACCACACAGAGTGAGATCCCAGTATCCAACTTCAGTCATGGTGCAATCTCTCAGAAGTCTGTCTCTTTACTTTAAACTTAACCAATGAGAATGTTCCAGGAAATGTCTGGATAGCTCTGTGGGCATTAATAAAACTATTAATCCAGAGCACACATTTCCCTTTTCCTCTCTATGCCTGACCTCTGTGTGGGCCTGGCCTCCAGATACATCTGTATCTCCACCTCCAAGCTGGTTATGGAGTTAGGGGTCTTGCAGGCTAAAGTGTGCATTCTACCACTGAGCTTCAATCTCTAGCCCTTAAGATTTTTAAACAGTAGGTAATCTATATGTCTCCTACTCAATGGATGGGTGCTCCAAAAGAAAAATAGAGCAAAGAATTACATGCACATTAGAGGAATTTTTTTCTTTTTTCTTTTCTTTTGTGCCAGTCCTGGGGCTGGAACTCAGGGCCTGGGTGCTATCCCTGAGCCTCTTTGTGCTCAAGGATCTACCCCGTGGGCCACAGTGACACTTCTGGCTTTTTCTGAATAGTTTATTGGAGATAAGAGTCTCATGGATTTTCCTGCCTGGGCTGGCTTTGAACTGCAATCCTCAGATCTCAGCCTCCTGAGTAGCTAGGATGACAGGTGTGAGCCACTGGTGCCCAGCACGTCAGAGGAATTTTAACCTGCGCCTGGATGGGAATCAACCTTTCATCAGCTACGATACAGTGCTTGTGTGCAGTTTATTTTAGCAAATCCATCCTTACCATGTATTCACCATTACAATATCATACGAAGTAGTTTTGCTGCCCTCACAAATTCCCAGTGCCTCGCCTGTTTGCTCTCTTGAACATCATCGGCTTGTTTCATCGCTTGTATAATTTTACCTCTCCCAAACCATACAATCAAAGTCATGTATGTAGTCACATCGTATAGAGACTGATGAATAATTAAAGTTTCTGTGGCTGGTAGCTCATTTAGGGTTTGCTTAGTTAAAATCATAATCTTGCATAGTATGGATGTCTGTCTTCCAATTTGCTTCTTCACTCAAGTTTGAAATATCTCTAGTTGCTTGATTTGGGTAACCTATGAATAAAAAATAATTTGAAACATATGTGTACTGTTTTCTGTATAATCTTCAGGTCTTAACTGCATCTGGTGGATAACCAGAAGCATGCTTGTTGTTTCCTATGGCGACACAATGTCTCCCTTCATACGAATCTTCCAAGCTGACTTCCAGGGTCTCTGTACCCTCTTCCCTTCCACCCACCCCACCCACCAAGAATTGCAATTGTTAGGGGTTTGGGAGGAGGGGTCTCTAATATTAGGGATATTAATATTGTTGGAATGCCTATCATTCTTCAAGGGACTGCAAGATTTATGAATGAAATTGGGACTCTCTAGAACAATCTAGGATAAGTACACAGAGTTACCAGCCTGAATTCAGTCAGAAAAACAGAGCTACTGTACATATAACAAGAACTAGGAACACGAGGACAATGAGACAGGCAGAAGAAAAGATCTATAAGTGTAACCAGACAACATCAACCAAAAGCTCTGAAAGGAAGAAGGTTTGATCTACGTGAACATGTCTGAGATCTCCTGTCTTGCTGCCATGGGGTTTCTGGGTACATTTATGGAGAGATTACAAAATGGCCACATCAGACCCAACATACAAGTGAGAGCTTGGGGAAACACTGCAAAGTTCTCTCTGTCTGCCTCAGTCTTCCAAGAAATTACAGCTTCACTCAGGCCACTGGATTTCTACCTTCAAGTTTCTTGTGCATTTTCCTTTTTCTTTTTTCTTTCTTTTTTTTTGTTTTTTTTGTTGGTTGGTCATGGGGCTTGAACTCAGAGCCTAGGCACTGTCCCTGAGCTTTTTCACTCAAGGCTAGCACTCTATCACTTTGAGCGACAGCTCCACTTCTGGGTTTTGAGTGGCTAACTGGAGATAAGAGTCCCACAGGGGGAAGGTGGCTCAGTGGTAGAGTGCTTGCCTTGCATGCATGAGACCCTGGGTTCGATTCCTCAGCAACACATAAGCAAAAAGAAAAAAAAAGCCGGAAGTGGTGCTGTGGCTCAAGTGGTAGAGCGCTAGCCTTGAGCTGAAGAGCTGAGGGACAGCGCCCAGGCCCAGAGTTCAGGCCCACGACCGGACCCCCCCCCCCAAAAAAAAGAGTCCCACAGGGACTTTTTTGCCATCTTATGAATTTTTTCTCTCTGGCAAATGCTAACACAGAATATTCAGGAATTCTGGAAAAATAGTTCTCAGTATTGGTGCTACTTAACAACATATAACTAGCCTGCACATACATATAATACACATATAACACATATCACACACACACACACATATATGTGTATGTATGTATATACTCATAAAACAAGATTAAGTATCATCTGATAAAAATACCATGACTAGAGGCTAACAGAAATTAAACCCTACTACGAATAATGAGATTTCACTATATAGTAATCACAGACTTAAATACATATATGACTTTACTTTTGCAAAATAATTTCTTTTTTGGTTTTAGGTACTATGACTTGAACTCAGGTCCTTGTGTTCTCAGTGTGCTTGTTCACACCTGGTGCTCTACCACTTAAGCCATATCTGCAATCCCTTAGTTTTCTAGTTAGTTGGAGATGGAGTATCATGAACCTTTCTGTCCAAGCTAGCTTCAAACCATGATCCTCCATGTCTCAGCTATTTGAGTATCTGGGATTACAGACATCCTGGGGCTTGAACTCTGGGCCTGGGTGCTGTCCCTGAGCTTGTTTGGCTCAAGGCTACTGCTCTACCACTTGAGCCACAGAGCCACTTTGCCACTTCCAGCTTTTTCTTAGTAGTTTATTGGAGATAAGAGTCTCAGGGACTTCCTTGCCAGGGCTGGCTTCAACCTAGGATCCTTCAACTTAGGATCTTAGGCTCCTAAGTACCTAGGGTTACAGGCATGAGCCACTGGCACCAGGCTACTACATATTTTTGACATACTATCTCAACACCTACTAGGTAGACAAGACAGATGTCCTTGTGCCAGTTTTCTGGGCAAGAAGGAAAAATAACTGAGTTATTGCCCAAATTTCTAGCACCTGGGGCTTAAATCGTGAATTATAGTTTGGTGTTTTTTCTACTAATGAAGCTGGTTCATCAAACAAGACACTGTTGTATCCATTGTCCCACCCCTGGCTCTCTTAAGAAGTGTTGCTATTACTTCAGAGTATAGCAAATACCTTGTTAGGATTGTCTTTTGTCCTAGCAACTGAAGATAAGTTACTTAAAAATCCAGTATTTATCATCATTTAATCCTCTTCATTTCCAAGTTATAGCTATATTCCTAATCCACAATTACATGCTTCTCCAGATTCCTATTTGAAATGGAAAAATAGGATGAAAGAAGATCAATTATACTGAATGGCACATATACTGCGCAGATAAGTCCTGGATTTGAATGTATAGAAACAACCGCATTTGAACGAGGCCATTACCTAGTGCAACATCGCCACCTATGGGTCACAGTCACCAAGCACATGCCCTCTAAACAAAGGTAGCTATCAACCATGTTGAGCTTTTTTGCCCGACCCTAAGGAAGACTTTTCCCATCTGGGATTCCCTCCTTTCTGACTTACCAGAAAGGTGTGAAAGTAGTAAAAATCTCAAACGATATGGTTAAGATCTCATCCAGTAGAGTCTTGAAGTTTACAAGAGAAATAGCCGTTGCCTTTCTGGAGGAAATTTTTGTTCCTTCTATCATCTGAATTTTGTTAATGGAACACACCAGAAGCCCTGTATGACCCTGGCCCATACATGTCAGATAATGAGAGATAAGCTTTATGGGTCCTCAAGAATCCCTCTCCAAGGTAAAAGGTAGATTGTTACACCTTGCCTACCCCAGTAGGAAGAAGGAAGCACACCTCTTGGTTCTGAAGTGAGCATATTCCAGCATATTCCAGGGCAGGCACATGGCTGCACCATTTTGCAGGTGCACACACTGACTGTCAGCTTTGAATGGGACCTAAATTTAGGAAAGGGTTTTTTTTTGTTGGGTTTTGGTTTGGTTTCTTTTTGTTGTTAGTCGGGAGGCTTGAACTTGGGGCCTGGGCACTGTCCCTGAGCTTTTTTTACTCAAGGCTAGTGCTCTACCACTTTAAGCCACAGCACCACTTCTGGTTTTCTGGTGATTAATTGGAGATAAGAGTGTCGCAGACTTCCTGCCCAGGCTGGTTTGGAATGGCCAACCTTACATCTCAGCCTCCTGAGTAGCTAGGATAACAGGCATGGGCCACCAGAGTCTTGTGATACTATCTTTGGGATTCTACCTCGTGGTGTGCTGCTTGGTCTTGGTAGGGGTCTTCTAACCATGATCACCTAACTATGGCACACACACAACTGGCAACTATGGGGTAAGATTCACGCTGACACGGAAGAATCTCTGGAACATTAGATAACATAGAAAAGAGGAACAAAGGTTGCAAACAAAATGAATACTGCTAATCAGCTGACCTGAGGGTAGAAAGACTATCTTGGATCAGTGGGATGGCCCCAGTCTTTAAAATTGAGGGAGTCCAGTGCCAGTGGCTCACACCCTGTAATCCTCGCTACTCAGGAAGTTCAGATCACAGTTTGAAGCCAGACCAGGCAGGAAAGTCTGTGAGACATCTCCAATAAACTATTTTAAAAAATCCAGAAGTGGTGCTGTGGCTCAAAGTGATACAGAGCTAGTCTTGATCCAAAAAAAAAAAAAAAAAGCTCAAGGACAGCACCCAGGCCCTGAGTTCAAGCCCCAGGACTAGCACAAGAGACAGACAGAGGAGAAAGTCAGATTCAGAGGGAGATGTGACTAAGGAAGAAAGACACAGAGATGAATATTGCTGCCTTTGAAGACAAGAGGAAGAAGCCATAAGTCAGAGAATGCAGGTGGCCTCTCAAAGCTACAAATGAGAAACACACTTTTCTTCTGGAGTCTCCAGCCATCATATCTTTTGATTTTTAGCCCAGTCAGACTCACATTCAGAGTTTAAGCTGATGGTGTATACCCCCAAACTCTCACCATCATATTAAATAAACAGGAGTTTAGACCAGAGAATAGTATCAAAGAGAGAGGGGATGATATGCCATGATTTTAAAAAAGGACAGGCAATCAAGAGGACAGAGAGATTTCTAAATGTGCAAGCACAAGCAGCAAAGAAATCAACTACAAGAAATTAAACCTGAAATAACTAAACTAATCATAATAAAAGCCAAATTGACAATTATAGTTGGAGAATTCAACATCTCTTTTTTAGTCACTTGGAGGATGGTTTTACAGAAAATAAGCCTGAGTATAAAGAACCAAACAATATCATAAATTGACAGGATCTGAGAGCATTTTTACTTGGCAATAGAATACACTTTCCTGTCAAGCACCTGGAGAAAGAAAGGTCATATTCAGGGTCATAAGACAAATCCCAGTAAGTTTTTAGAAGTTTTAAGTGTTGGCTCAGCAGACTCAATAAATCAAATTAGAAATTCATGACAAAGATAACAGGATAATCTCTAAACATTTGGCAACTAAACAATACTTTTCTAAATAATGCATGGTTCCAAGGATGCTTCAAAGGAAATGTTAAACATACATCAAATGGGATAAAAGGTATAAATGAAATGTGCCAAAATGTGAGGGGAAAACCTAGGTCAGGGTCAAAAGGGAAATGGATTATTTTAAGTGCTTAAAATAGAAATGCTTCTCCAATCCATAACCTAAGCTGCCACCTCAAAAGCCTAAATAGAAGAGCAAACCAGGTAGGTGAAGGAAGGAAATCGTAAAGTAAGAGGTGTAAAAGAAAAGGGGGAGGACAGAGAGAGAGGGAGACAGAGAGACAGAAAGAAACTTGGAGAAAGAGATGACAAGTTACCAATACTGATATGATGAATAAAATGATCATATGACTTTAGACACTGAAGACATCCAAAGTGTAATAACAGAATTCTTGAACAACTCTACACACCTAAACTCAACAGCTAATAGATCACTTTCTATGCTAAGTAGATCAATTTCTTAAAAATGAAAACTACAACAACTCAATAAGTGTGCAATCATTACTTGAGTAGTGCCATTACTATTAAAGGAAATTTAATTTGGAACTTAAAAGTCTCTGGGGAGAAATCTCATGCCTAGATGGCTTTACTGGAACTTTTTTGAATTTTTTAAAAAGGAATTAATACTAGTTCTAGAGAACATGCTGGAATATTTCAAATTCATAGCGTGAAACTAGTATTACCTGGATATCAAAATTATACACTCACAGAATGGGGAGGGGGGAAGAATGCTATGTCACTGAGATTTTTTGTTCATTGGTGTTCATTGGAAATAAAGAGTCTCATGGACTCCTCGTGCTGTCTTTAAACCACCATCCTCAATTCTCAGCCTCCCCAGTAGCTAAGATTACAAGCATTAGCCACCAGTGTCCGGTCCATATTTTCTTTTAAAGATTTTGTATTAGCATACATTAGTTGTGGAAGGCAAGGTTTCATTGTGACATGTTTTAGTACATGGAGACAATGTATCCCTGATATCAGACATTTTAATGCTGCCGCAATACTCTGGCTTGTTTAGCACAGCAGATACAAGAAGACCAGTTGCAGAATCCGGCTGGACATAGATAGATAAATGTCTGTTTCTGCCTCCCATTCATCTTAACAGCTGTCACTTCAACATCTGTTAGGCATTCTCTTATCTGGTCGTGGCTTGCAGCACCTGGACATTCCTGGGTTATCTAGTCTGGTTTTTCTTCCTGTCTTCCAAAACATAAAAACATCATATGATACTATGGAAAAAAATAATTGTGTCAAAAAGATTGGTAATCTCACTCCCCAGCACATAATTTATTTTCATTTTCCATATCCTGTCTTAAATCTTGACAAAATGGATTCATTGTTTCATGTGATTTCAGACTCGGAGGAACAAAGTGTGTGCTCTGACAAGATTAATGTAATTCTTTTGTTTTGCGGACAAAGGATTGAACTACGTAGCTCAGGCTGGCCTCAAACACACAATTCACCTGCCCTGGGCCTCTCAAGCACTGGGATTTCAGGTATGTTCTACCATACCAGTCAGGAACATACAATTCCAACTTGGATCTTCCTTTCAGTCAGAACCCATTGAGATTATTTTCCACCTTGACTACTGGTGATCAGAATAGCCAAGTCTGCTTCTGTTGGTCCTAGTGTTTCACCTACCCCTTTAAAAAAAAATACTACAGAATTGATCGAGTTAGCCCCTGTCTTGTGGACTCTTAAAACAGGCCAGAAAACCCGCGACGGCTCTCTACGCAGACCCTATCTCCCCATCATTGGCCACGTTGCGGCATCCTGCTGCTGGGTGCCCTTCGCAGAGGTGGTTCAGTGGGTACCCAGGCGGCGGCCAGTGGTGCGCACGCCACGCCTAGGACCAGCAGGGGGCGGAGGAGTTCCGGGGTCTCGCCAGCCGGCGCCAAGGGGCGTGGCTTCTGCATCCAGACGGACAGCTAAGGATGCGGCCGGCCGAGGATGAGGTAATCCCAGGCCGAGCGAGGGGGGCGTGAGGGCGCGCGCGTGTGCGCGCACGCGCGTGCCGGAGTGTGCACGCGTGCCTGTGCGAGCTGCAGACCTGGGCTGCAGTGTCTGCGTGGCGCGTTTAAAAAGAAGAAGGAATCCGATTTTTAAATATATTTGTATTTGGAACGAGGCTGCCCCGTGGCTGCGGTCCGAGCACGGGGGAAGCCTGGGGGGGTGCGGGGGTGGGGGTCGCGCGCGGGTTTGCCTGGCGCCCTGCCGGGCAGCGGCGGCAGCGGCGGCGGCGGCGGCTCCGGGCGGGGACTGCGCGGCGTCCCCACCGGGAGGGGGCGCTCTCCCCGCGGCGGCGGCGGAGGGGCGGGCGGGGAGGGGCGGGAGCCGGGGCGGGGCGCCCGGAGCGGCGCGTGCCGTTCGCCGCGCGCCTCGCGCAGCGCGCTGCCTCTCGCCCGGCCGCTGGTTTGCAAAGCCCGAGGCGCAACTGGTGCGCGGGTTCGGTCCTCGCCCGGCGGCGGCGGCGGCGGCGGCGGCCGGCCGGGAGGCTTTGCCGGGCGGGGCCCTGTTTGCACGGAGCCGGGCATTTGCATGAAGCGACTCGAACCCCCGGAGCAGCGGCAGCAGCGGCGGCGGAGCCCGGCGGCGGCGGCGGCGGCGGCGCGCGGTCCGAGCCCGGCAGTCCGGGTCTTCGGGCCGCGGTGGATGCGCGGCTGGGGCGGAGCCCATGGGCCGCGGCTGAGGCTGCCGGGGGCGTCGGGGCTCGGGGCGGGGGGCGCGGTCGAGGCCCCGAGGCGGCGGCGCCGGAGGAAGCGGAGGAGATCGGGGGCTCGGGGCCCGGGCGGCGCAGCCCCGGGCTCGCCATGCTCCTGGCCTCGGCCGTGGTGGTCTGGGAATGGCTGAACGAGCACGGCCGCTGGCGGCCCTACAGCCCCGCCGTGAGCCACCACATCGAGGCGGTGGTCCGCGCCGGGCCCCGCGCGGGGGGCAGCGTGGTGCTGGGCCAGGTGGACGGCCGCCTGGCGCCCTACATCATCGACCTGCAGTCCATGAACCAGTTCCGGCAAGACACGGGTGAGTCGCCCGCCGCCCGCGTCCTGCGCCCCGGCCGCCGGCCGCTCCGTGCGCTTCGATCACGGGATGGGGCGGGGGGGGGGGGGGCGCTGATGGATCGCCCTGAGACACACAGCACACACACACACACACCCGCCGAACCAGCACCTGCTAGTGGTGATCGGGGCCCGGAAGGGGGCTCCCTTCCCCTTCACGCCCCCTTTCCAGCCCTGGCTGGCTAGAGTCTTCCCTGGCTCTCCACCCTGGGCTGTTCCCACCTGCTTGGCCTCGGGCATCCCGGGGCCTCCACCCACGGGGCCTCCTCCTCGGCCTCCTTCGTGCCTCTGGCCCCCTGTGATGGTGCGCGCGAGGAAAGCCTCGGTGTGTGAAGAACGGGGAGGGGGGCTGGCAGCCGCTGAAGGAATTCCACACCCCCCCCTTCCCCGAGTGTAGCCGGGGTCAGGCCCCAGCACGGGGTACGTCATGGAAGGAGAGAATGGAGTCCGGGGATTCCGAAGAGGAGTGTGACATTTCTCCAGTGCCTCGGCTCGGCCTCCTCCAAGCTCTCCGAGAAGCAACAGGCCAGGACCGGGGGAGGGGGAGGAACGGGGCTTTGGAATGCCTGGCAAGGAAGCCATTCCCTTTGTCCCCGGAGAAAGGGGGGGGGGGCGGGGGAGGCTCGTAAGGAGTAACTATCCCCTAGCCTACCGAGCCATCCTCCGGACTCCCATAGCACTAAACTCCCTTTCTTTCCCAGAGAATTAATGAGCTGCCAGCCATGAAGGCCACCCCCCCCAACACACACCCCACTCTCCTCCACCCCAACCCTCCACTCCCCAGCCGGCCTTCTCCCCCAGATCAGGTGCAGGAAGGGTGGAGGAGGGCCACAGGCAGGCACCAAGGCGACCTCTTCATGATTTGGTCCAGTCTATCCTGGTATAATTGAGATGATAGGGACCAGTCTCCTGTCTTCCAGTCATTGCTTCAGTGGCGAGGTGGAGGGTGTTTCTGGGATTCTGGCAGTGCTTTTCTAAGTGTGTAAACCACCACCACCACCACCCCATCCTGGAGAGACAGGTGTGGCAGGGAGGGAGGGGAGCCTATGACCAGGGGAGGAGGAGGACCTTGTGGCTCCAGGAACAGCTGCCGGAGCTGGACTTCTCAGCCCTCACATCCTGTGTGCTAATTAGGATTGTCATGGGAAAGAGGCATCTCCTCCCTCTTGTCCCTGCCTTTAGTCAGAACTCCCAAACAATCTTCGTGCCAGGGACACTAGTGGATTGAGAAAGAAAGAAGGGGGGGAAGCTTTCTGGGGGAAGAGATTCCAGAAGTTTTAGCATCTGGCGAGCTTCAACACTGGTGGAGAAGGAAGGGAGGTGGAGCGGGGAAAGACTGGGAGGAGGAGAGAATATGGAGGAATGTGGGGTGGTTGAGAAAGAGGATTGATTATGTGTGTGGCTGAGAGGGAGGAGAAGGTGCATTGTGTAACTTGGGTAGAGGTTGTGGAGGTGAGGGGTGTCAGGGTCAGAGAGGCAGCTGAGAGGCCTGGGAGTAGGGCCAGGGAGACCACCTGATAGGAAATTCCAGTCCTGACCAAAATTTAAAAAAAAAAACAAAACAGCAAATGTTAGCCTTTCTATGTCAGTGGCAAGGTGGAGGGCTGTTTCTGGAATTCTGGCTGTATCTAGATCTCTGTAGCATGTGGTAGAAGCTCCAACCCCAGTGATACACAGGTCCCAGGCCCACGCCCCCAAGCTCACTGCTTGAAAGAGCAGAGATGTAATGTGTGTTTGAGGGAAGTCTGCTGGGCCAGGAACTGGAAGCTGTCACGATCTAGAGGAAACTTCCATACAGGTGAAAGTTATTGAGAAACCTGCTACAAAGGACCCAAGCAATTTCCCTCAGACTTCTATCCCTTCTTCCCTAAAGGCAGATTGACTACTGCCTAGTGATTCACAGAAGCCGGGACTCCTTGAATTTAGATATATGGGGAGAATTAGCCCTGCATGGGGTTTTTGGGGGGAGAGGGGAGGTATTAGTGAATGATTGAAATCTAAGGCCTCACACAAGTTGGACAAGCCTGTTCTGTGATTAGATTATTGAAGCCCTGCTTCACCTCCACATGCAATTTGATTTCTGAGACAAGGTCTTGCTATATAGAGCCTAGTCCTCCTACCTCAGCCTCCAAAGTGCTGACATTACAGGCATGCACCACTCTGTCCAGCCAAGAACCTTTTAAAGATAGGCCCATAGTGTGTGTTTCCTAGCCACACTGCTGTGGTGTCGTTTTTTTCATTTCTACAGCATATACAGAAGGCTAACAATCTTCCTGTCTCCTCTCTACCAGGCTGTGTGTTGGATGCTGTAGCCACTGGGCTGAATTCCCAGGAATGCTGGGTCTGTCTAGGAGCTTGTCAAAGTAGCTTCGAAATCTATGGGTATCTGGGGTCTTGAGTGCCCTCCTCCTCTCCTTTCCCCACCAATACACACAGTTCCTCTCACTATAGCTCATTGATCAGACGGTGACAGGGTAGGAACTTTAAGCCACCAGCTCCCAGGCAACCTCAGTCAGGCCGTGGTAATGTTTAATTAAATTACCCACCGTCCCCAAGCCACACTTTAAAGCTGGGAACCCGAAACATCCCCATGAACAAAGAGCTGGAAGTTCCCTGCCTAGAGGCAAGTCCTCTTTCTTTGACATGGCCGCTTTGTCCTTTTAGAAGTTGCCCGGGTCTCCCTGCTCTGTGAGTCTTCAGTCTCTCCCATCTCTGGGCTCTTGACTTCTTCAAGCCTGTTACCAGGGAGACAGTTGAAAGGTTGCAGACACCCATCTGCCTGCCTCTGTTTGCCCTGGGTACTTGTCCTCCTCCAGATCTGGTGAAAGAAGGGGGGGGGGGGCGGGGGCGTTTCTGAGTTCATTTGCATTAGATACTGGTCCAGAAGAAAAGAAGAGATGAGTGAGTTCCTCTCCACTGGAAGTCATTTATCGGAACCAGACTGCCTTTATCTCTTGTTTGGCAGTGACTAGAGAACTTTACTTCTTTGCTTGAGCATCATCATGTCCTCTGTATGTTCCAATAGCCCTGATCAGAGACATCTCTCCATGGGCCAGGGGCAGGAGGAGGAAGACGCAAGCTGGGAGGCAGGACTCACTGTTTACCATGGATCGTGAGCCTGTCCCCTGCCTGCCCACATCTTCCCTCTCTCTGTAGATTGTCCTCCTTTCCTTTTTCCTTTCCCTCCCACATGCAGATCAGCAGGTGGAATGAGCCTGGCTTCTGCACCAGTGATGACGCTAAAGGGGACTGGCATGGTGCAAGGGCGGATTCTTTCCAGCTCAAGAGTTTTTCAGTGTGAGCTTTGTGTCTTTCCGTCTTTAATGTAGCGAGAGGTCAAATGTATGGAGTGGGTTTGGCGACAGAATTCAATAGAAGCTGATTGTATGGGGCTTTCATGATAGGCCCTTCTTCACCAGGGCAAGGAGAGACAGACATTACGATGACCCCAAGGTAGCTACAATGTGGCTGGTGGTCCGTGGGTCTGCATTGTGCCAAGCATATTGCTCCCACTGTCTTGTTCAGTCCTCACAGCATCTCTGTAAAGACTTGAGATTCCCATTCTATGGGGAAAAGTGGGAACTTGCCCAAGGGCTTCACTTGCTCTGTCCATGGCATAGCTAGGATTCTGAACTGAGCGTCCTTTTACTATACTCCGTCCTCCCGTGATCAGTATTGGCCATCTGCCTTATCAAGCTGTTGACCCCTGGGACATAGCAATGCTAGAATATCCAAGCCTTTGCCCTCATGGGGACATGAGAGTAAGAGTCAGGTGGTCACTGGTAGGAGAGGCTGTGGATTTTTGGAACGCCATGTATGCTCGCCTAGCAGCGAATCTCTTGTGCAGGTGGAAGTTGAGGTGGCATGTCTTAGAGACCTCAGGTCATGGCCTGGCAGGCGATGATTGACTTCTGCTTCCTCAAAGCCAAAACAACTTGGGTGTTTGGGGATGTTGGCATCTGGGTGGCTGGGGAAAATGGATTTTCTTTCTCTTTTCTTTCTCCTTAGTTTGGGATCACTCTTGATTCCTATCCTATGAGAAGCCTTCTCCCTGGATCGCCACACTGTACGACAAGATGGAATGTCTTCAGATTGGCTAGTTTAATAGGGCACTGACATTCCAAATAGGGAAGTAGCCACTGAGTGAAATCCTACCATCCTTCTTGTCCAAGTCTTTGTTTCTGAGGTTTGCTGTTTTGTTTTGTTTTTTTCCTGACTCTAATTACATTCTAGGGCTGAACCAAGCACAGCAGTGTTCCCTTACCCAAAGCAGCTTTTCTTGTTAATGGCAATGCCAATTTCCCCATGTTTCCTGGGCCTCGGGATTCTTTGGCTTATTCTATCATTCAGAACCTCATTGAGCGACTAACATGTAAAAGACAGGCACATTGTGGTCTGATGCTTGAAATGAGAAAAAAAATCATATTCCCACCACAGGCCACAGGAGACACTGAGGCCTAGCTCTGAAGGGCATTGCTGGGCTGGCCTCCTGGGGATTAGGAAAGTGTGGTTCTGGAAAGGCATGTGGAAAGCATTCGGCTATCCAAGGTCAGGTCCCCTGTGCAGGGTCTCTCCAGTCCTTCACCTCTTTCTTATCCCCCCTACCCATCAGTCCTTCTACCCCCTCCTCATGTGAAACTAATGAACACAACAGCTTTGGTCTTGTCAGTTCCATTTACAAATCTTCACTGATTCCTCATCCCCTCAGAATTAAATCCATCACAGCTTAACATCCCAGACCCTCTATACCCTGCCTGTCACGTGCCTTATTGGGTCTATCTTCTGTGCTTTATGTATTCCCAGATCTCTTTGACACCCTCTCCATCCCCATCTCCATGATGTCTCTTCTGCTGGAATACCATCCTCTTCCACGTTTGCCTGTTGAAGTTCTCTTTATCATTCAAGCCTTGTGTTCTTTGTCACCCACTTCTTCAAATATTCAACAAATCGTCATTACTTCTTCTATTCAGTCAGGTATCTGTGTGTGTGTCTGTGTCTGTGTAATATAGCGTAGTGTAGTATACTGAAGCTTAAATTCAGTGCCTGGGTACTGTCCCATCACTTCCATGCTTCTACTTCTAGCTGTTTTATTGGTTAATTGGAGATAAGAATCTCAGGGACTTTCCTGCCTGGTCTGGCTTTGAACCGTGATCCTCAGATCTTATCCTCCTGAGTAGATACATTGACAGGTGTGAGCCACCAGCGCCCAGCATCAATAAATACATAATGAACTCCTTAGACATACCAAACATATGGGACAAAGTGGGGAACAAGCATTTGGGGGCCCGTTCTCATGGAGTTGGGGTTCTAAGAGGGAGACAAGTATCCATTCAGCTTGTTGCACAAATAAAGGAATAATTGCATGGAGAGATAATGCCATACAAAAATTAGGAGCAAGAATTTGACCTGATTCGGACATCCCAGAGAGACACCATATTAATCAAAAGGATGGGGTTGTGAGGTGGGGATAATGAATTGGCCTTATGAAGAGTCCCAGAATCAGAGAAGCAAGGAAATGGCCAGTGTGAAGAAAATGTGGGCAGTATATGTATGTTACAATATGAGGGAGGGGTGAAATGCAGAAATTGTAGCAGGAGAAGATTTGGGTCCTGACCTAAGAAGAAATTATGGAAGGAGTTAAGCAGGGAAGGGATGTGGCTCCTGCCACCATGTATTTCATTTCACTGACATCTGCCCATGGCATATTTTGCATCATAAATAGTTACACACACACACACATGCCTTCCAACACCATTTTAGATCATATATTATTCGAGGAATGCTTGACTCTTGGCATTCTGCACAGCAACTAATGGGTGCTCAGCAAGATGTGGTCAGTGAATACATAGCATAGGCATTGGAGTCTACACAGCACAGTTGCTGGAGTTCTGGAATGCAAAGCACTCCACAGCTGTACCCTTGCCCTACTCACACCACCCATGGAAGGGGCTCAGAAGCCTGGAAGCAGCAGGCAGTGGTTCCAGAGCTGCACCTCCAACTTCCTGAAGGTGGAGCCTGAGCTAGAGGACACTTCCAAGAAATGCACAGCAGCAAATGACGTAGGATCTGAAGGATAGGTTAAAAATGGCAAAAGGTTGCACTTGGGTGGAAGGAAACGGGTAAGTAGTGGAGGAGGGTGTCAGGGAACCATGAGAGAAGGCCTGAGTACAAAAAGGACCTCTGACAGGAGAAGAGGAAGATATATTGGAAAGGAATGTCATAGAACCAGGGGATCATTGCCAAAATTCAGGGCAATTCTCAGAAATGTCTAAGATTGAGAACACTGTTGTCAAAAAAAAAGTGTGTGTGTGTGTGTGTGTGTGCACGCACGCGGGTGCATGCATGTGCATGTGTGTATGCACGTACATGTGCCAGAACTGGAGCTTGAACCCAGATCCTCACACTTTGGCTCTGCCTTTTTGTTCAAGGCTGGTGCTCAACCACTTGAGCCACACCTCTACTTCCCTTTATGCGCATTTGTGAGATTTGGCCAAGTATATTTCTCTGTGCTACTCCAGATAGAAGATAAAATGATGCCATGTCAACTCCTCTAAAATTACTGTGTTATCTGTAACAGACTCTCTCAGTAATAAAGATGGTATAGCTATGAGCTATATGGGAACACTCGTTTCCTCTCTCTGGGTCCCTGTCTCTCTGTTCCTCTCTTACTGCATCCTATAAGCTTTTCCTGTCACATCTTTATCCTGCTTAGACACAGTACAAAAACAAAGCTACAATCATAATCACCGCTTCTTGTTCTGTGCGCCTGACAGGTGCTATTTTTGCTATTTAATATTCGCTTCTTTCTTTGGCCTTCAACTTCACCTGTTGAGGCTTCATCCCAGGGCCAGAAGTGATGGACCTCTCATGGACCCAGCCCATACTCTTTGTTCCCCCAGCAAGGAAGGAAAGGGAGGCTAACTAGGGAATTGCTCCTCCCCTCTCTTCCTCCATACCTCCAGACCCCTCCAACAGAGGCCCTGGTGCTGAATAGGGGATTGTTCTGCTTCTTGCTTGTGCCTCTGAATGTTGATGTTTTGGGTCATTAAGGGGCTTGGAGATGGGGTGGAGGGTGGGTTATGACCCTGGCAAAGGCCTGAATAGCCATTGTTCCTTTTCTTTCCCCCCTTGAATGGGATCCTGTCCCAGTCTTGGTGTCTCCCTCTGGGTTGGGGGAAGGGGGGGCGGGTCAGAGGCCAGTGAAGGGAGCCTTTTCCCACCGGCCTGGATAGATGGAGCTTAAGCTGACAGATGCAGGAATGCCTGCATCGCCAGAGCCCTCCCCAGCCCTCTCACTCTGTCCTGAGCCAGACCTCCTTTGCCTTGATGTCGATGCCAGCAAATGAGCCCTGGTGGGCAATGTGCTGGCTTCCGATATGGGGGTGGAGAGTGGAGAAATGGGTGATAGTTCCCTTAGGAGCTTCGTTCTCTTCTGATGCTGCTAATTCGTCTCTGCTGTACCAATACCCTGTAATAACCCTGGCTCCTCTTCCCAGTCCTACGGGGAGACCGTGTTTCTGAGTGTTGGAGCTTTGGGGATGAAAGATCTTAGACAGTTATAAAATTATCCTCAAGACCATTGAGAAAGGTGACTGTCATTGACGGAAGATAGAATGGAGGGAATCTGTGAGTCTTCTCCTAAGCTGATTTCCTTTCTTCTCACGGTGATGCGTCTGGTTTGGGAATTTCTATTTTTATTGTCTCTCTAAAGAGTCGCTGCCAACCACAAAGAGCTGCTTGGTGGGCACTGCCTCTGGTCAGCTCTCCAGAATGGGAAGCAAAGTTAGACCCCTTTCCTCTGGCTCCCCACAGCCCTGTGTTTCCCCCCACAGCCCAGCCCTTTGGCCCTGGGTATTCAGAAGGGATATTTATGAACATCTACTATGCATGGGGGCGGGAGGGGTCTTTCCACGCCATCATGTAAACTCCAGGGCTTGCACATGAATCCAGGTAACTGGCATGTACAGATACATGCTTGAAGAATGAATAAGGGGTCACCTGTGTTTTTTGGTTTTTTTTTTTTTTTCTCAAAAGCCCTAATAGGAAGGACTTATTCTCTGTTTTTCTCACGGGAGACGGGTGGACGGAGGGGTACTGTCATTAGCTAGTAGGGAAATCCATTTGGTATGCTCCCAGCTCCAAGGTAAGAAGTGCTTCTCACCCAGCCAACACGGTGGTCTCCTTCCCAGACTTCTTGCCCTGAATAGCTCGACGGGTTCTTTCAAGGCAGGAATGAGTCTCATTGCGAGGCTGGAACCTCTGTAGGTGGGCAGGAAGATATTCAGCACGGAGCAGGCCTCCTTAGACGTTGGTCTCTTCGTGCAACACGGTTCCCCGTGGTTCCAGGCTGACCGCTCCTCTGTCCACCTCTCAGGAACCCTGCGTCCTGTCCGCCGCAACTACTATGACCCATCTTCGGCCCCGGGGAAGGGCGTGGTGTGGGAATGGGAAAACGACAACGGCTCCTGGACGCCCTACGACATGGAAGTGGGCATCACCATCCAGCACGCCTACGAGAGGCAGCACCCCTGGATCGACCTCACCTCCATCGGCTTCAGCTATGTCATCGACTTCAGCACCATGGGCCAGATCAACCGGCAGACCCAGCGCCAGCGCCGGGTGCGGCGCCGGCTCGACCTCATCTACCCGATGGTCACCGGGACCCTGCCCAAGGCGCAGTCCTGGCCGGCCAACCCGGCCTCGGCCGCCTCGCCCCCGGCTCCACCCTGCTCCTGTCCACAGTGTGTGCTGGTGATGAGTGTCAAGGCGGCCGTGGTCAACGGGGGAGCCCTGCAGCCCCCCCTAAGCCGCAAGAACGGGGCTCCCTCCGCCACGGCCAAGCTGCCTCCGCCCCCCGGCCCGGGAGTCAAGCCACCGGATGCCACGGGCACCCTTCGAGCCCCGCCCAAGGCCCCCGCGTCGCAGGCGACCCGGCGACAGGTGTCCAGCGCAGCACCAGCCGGGGCAGCCGCGGGAGCTGCGGCCGCCGCCCCTGCAGCCAGCAGCAAGACGGGACGGGTAGCCCTGGCCACCTTGAATCGGACCAACCTTCAACGACTGGCCATCGCGCAGTCCCGAGTGCTGATCGCCTCCGGGTAGGTGCTCCCAGTGCTGATCGCCTCCGGGAAGGTGCTCCCCTGGCCGCCTCCGAGCGCTCCCTCTCTCCAGGGACAACCTCGGGCTGACCCTGGGGGTCACAGAGCGCAGAAGGAGCTACTGCCAGGATGTGGGGTCCTGGTCTCCCGGGGCTGAGCTCCTGGCCACGTTGGGGAGCAAACGTGGAGTGGGAGCTGGAGGGTTTCACAGCTCAGCCCCCGCCCCAGACCCCGGGTCTCATTGAGATTCTTGTGTTCACCGTGTGATCCAGGGCAAGATCCGTCACCTCCTAGAACCCCAACCTCCCCACTTGTGAAAGCTGGTCATGGCACCCTTGGTAGAACCCAGGGAGGGGTCAGGAAATTCCTACCCAGGAAGTCAGGACCAGCAGCTTGAATGCTCTCTTCCCACCCCGTGCCGCTTCAAGGGTTTTTGTCATTCCATCCGATCCTTACTGGATGTAGGCATCCAGTAATGTAGGCATTGTTAGCTCGCTTTATAGAGGAAGAAAGTTAGGGTGCACTCCCTCAGGGGCGCACAGCTCATCATCCATCGGCAAGACTGGGATTCAGACTTTAGCAAGTGTGACACCATATTCTGATTCAGCAGTGCTTCTCTACCAAGTGTGGACCAGTGTCGAGATCCGGTGAGCAGGTAGTGCAATGAGGTCTAGGTTCTTTGCATGCATGAACTCAAGCTATTCCAGGGCTATGATGAGGCTGGAGATTCGATTAATGTGTATGAGATACATATACATATGTGTGTGTGTACACATATATATACATATGTGTGCATACCTATATGTATACATGGGTGTATGTATAATATATGATTATATATTTTATAATTATGTGTGTGTATACACACACACGTAGTCCTAGGGCTTGAACTCAGGGCCTGGGGACTGTCCCTTAGCTTTTATGCTCAAGACTAGCACTCTACCCTTTGAGCCACAGTTCTCCTTCAGCTCCCTTTGGTGGTCAATTGAAGATAAGAGTCTCAGACATTCCTGCCTAGACTGGCTTCAAACCACAGTCTTCAGATCTCAGACTTCTATAAGAAGCTAGGATTACCTGTGAGTCACCTGGGTCTGGCTAGCTTTCTCTTGTTCTTGGTCTTCCTGACGTGATCTCAACCAAGTCCGTTCTTTGCTGGCAGCAGCTCCTGGCTTCTTTCCTAAAACTCACCCATCTTCCTTAACTCTGAATGGGGCCTGGGTCTGCCTTCTGGCCATGCACTCAAGTAGTTAGGATGGTTTAAGAGTTGAGTTCTGGAGTCTGGTCTTCCCCTGGGCTGCCCTGAGGAGATATCATTGATATTCAGCTGGCACTCTGCAGAGAGGCTGAGCACTGGGGAAGGAAAGGAGGAAGATCCATTGCAGAGTAGGAGGAAGATTAGGGTGGGAGCAGGAGCCTCTGTGCCTGCCTTTCCACTGGGATCAGCCAAGCTCCATTGTTGTTGTGTGTCATATCTGTCTCCTCAGATTTGCCTTTCCCACCCAAGGTATTACTGTGGAAGGAGTGTTCACCCTTGACCGCATACCTCTCCTTTGCTCTGAAGCAAGCATCAGACACAGGCACTTAACTCACAATTGTCCTTTCTATCAAGGGCCACACAGCATGCATGTTACAGAACCAAGGACAGAATCCAGATTTGATTCCCTGGTTCACTGTCTCCGCTGAAGCCTCATGGAATGTGAGAACATTCTTAATTACCAGACTGCTAATCAGATGAGCTGATAGAAGTATTTGGAGAGAAATGGACACCCAAACCATGCCACCGTGTAGTTTCTTTGAACAACCCTGCAGCAGCATCCTGGGAACTCTCAGGGAGTTCCAGGGTGATCACTGGCATGCAGGGGAAGTTCAATCCCTGACTGCCTGAGCTTGAATCCAAGCTCCTTGTGGTGCCACTTAGAGCAAGTTTTGCCTTCAGTGCTCTCATTTACAGGAGAGTGTAATAACCTTCCTTCGAGGGTGGTCACGGATTCAATGAGACATTCAGTGCATAGACTTAGCACAATGCACGACACATAATAATAGTTGGGTGTTCGCTGTTGTCATGGTTAGTATGGTGATTAACAGGTATCTATTGAATATACATTCTAGTTATTAAATCAACTCAAAGCTGAGCAGGTCTGACACACCACTTCATTTCTGACACCCTTGACAAATGCGATCATGGAGGGAGACACCCCCAGATCACTTTGAATTTCAATGAGGGAGTCCACCACGCTTTATCTGTTCTTTGGTTCCCTCTTCCTGCCAATAGAATGGCTGGAGAACAGAGTGGAGGTCAGGACAGTTGCAATTTCAAAAGAGCAATAGAAAGCCCTTGTTTCTTTCCTCTCTATTTTTCCTGACAGGGGAGCCCCTCTCCCCCCCACCCCCCAGTCTAACCCTCTTATCTTCCAGCACTTTCCTTTTCACCTCTCCCACTTCCCTCACCCCCTTTACCATCCTCTCTTCCAGCCTTTCTTGGCATTTAATTAGCGTGTTTCTTCCTTTGTCTGGCTTTGCCATCGACCTTCTGTCGTTCAGCCTCTCCCTCCTCCTCTTTCTGTCCATGACCTCTTCAAGCAAGTTTCCCACGGAAAAATAAGTAAGACCGGGAGGGTGGGATGAAGAGAGGGACTTGGGGGACTGAGGAGGGGGGGGGGGGGCGGGGACACAAAAGTTTCTGTGAATTATTCAGACCCAGGCAGGAGATTTCTAAAGAGGTGGAGGGCTGTGCACTGGAGTGTGGCCATCGCCCCCCTGGCCCTCTCCCTGAGTCCAGTTTCTCCATCTCCAGCTAGGCCTTGCTTGCCTTAGAGACCAGACCCTTGTCCTGCCAAGGAGTTCCTGGGTTGGTGCATAACTCAGACAAGGATAGCCTGGCACCATGATGCCTGCAGGGATCTTCTCTCGCCCTCTGCCCTTTTTCTTACTACCTTGCCAGCCCTTCTCTTTTCGCAGTTCTCTGTTTCATCAGTGGAAGTTAACGCTTAGACCAACCATTCACTGAGAACAGACCAACCAAGCAGGATGAGGAGGAATCTTCTGATTAGCTAACAAATGGATAGGCCAGAGGACTTGGGCTGAATAGAGTTGTCTGGATTCAAGAAACAAGCCCTGTCATTGGGCTGCTGTTTTCTAGGAGGACTCGGGCTTGTATAGCTGGGATCCCAATAGGGGATGATGGATCAGTGAGAGGGATGGTACTTCAGGGTTTATTTACACAACCAGGAAACGTGGGGGAGGGATGGTCCGGTGTTATCAACGGGGCAGTTAGTTCTGTGCCTAGTACTCCACTCTGCGTCTTACACTTGATACTTCTATCCTCAAGACTCTGGAGAAAAACAAACAACAGAAAAAAAATCACCTAGTATATTAAAGCAGGAAATGGTTGAGTGGAAACCAATGTAGTCCTCTGACACTGGAGAAACAGAAGTATAAACAGTCACTGAAATTTGTGTAGGGTCCAGCTGTTTACAAAATATCTGGCCTAAATCCTCACCAAAGACCCCTCCAGGGAGCAGACTTTCAGGGTAATCTGTTTATAGCTGGAGTAACTCTGCTCCTGGAAGGCAGAGAGGCTGGGCAACTCTCCCAAAGGCACAAAGCAAGACAGGGCTGAGCTGGGTTCAGATATTCCCAGAAGTTTACAGCTCCTTCCATTACACTCTTCTGTGTCCCCTGTAGGGACCAACACCTCTCTTGTCAGATAAGTTGATCCCACAGGTCCTCTGTGTTTCTTGCATGTCTGAGGTCCCAGGAAGGCCTTCCCTTCCCTCTCTCCAGAATTTTCCCCACACCCCCACAGTTCTTGGGCTGCTTTGGGGACGAGTATTTCCTGGTTGGCCGAATTGGGTGTGGAAACCTGCCAGTCCAGTTTGTGGGAACAAAGGTGGCTTTTGTCACCCAGATCACAGCTATTTATCAGTTGGACTGGAGGCCTTGAGGTGGGAGAGAGAGAAAAAAGGCAGGTGAAATACCGGTCGATATATACTGCCCCCTGGTGGGGAGCCAAGAAACTGGCTCCAGAAGGCCAGATCCTCCCTTCCAGCCTCCCCAGATAGAGGTAGAGGAAATTGTGGCTCAGATAAGTTGCTTGACTGCACCAGGAGCTGTCGGTAGGGTTGAGAATCAAATCTGATTTTCTTTATTATTTGCATGTACTTGACCCAAAGGAGGGCAGGCCTAAGAGTGCAGAATTGAGTCCATTCCGCTTTCTTTCTTTTTTTTTTTCCTGATGGGTCTTGTTTTAAATGCAACGTCTCTTCCTGCACATCTCAGTTTTGATTTATCCAGGGGACAGTTTCAGGAGGAAAGTAGCTTTTGATGGCCTTTAAAGACTAGGGACAAGGGACTTTGGCAGGCTAAGAATAGCTGAAAAAGTTCCCAATTGGGAATGTGGGAGACAGATAGACTCCACTGCTCAGCCAGAAAGTCCCATTGCAGCCCTGTCCTTGCGTGGCAGCGGGTTAATTCGTCATACTCTGAGCTGCTGTAGGAAGGATAGGGTGTTTTCAGAGTGATGTAAACAGTGAATAGGCGTTGTGACTCTGGAGCCAGATTTTGTGACTTCAGTCTTCAGCTGTGTGACCTTGATCACCTCCTTGACTATAAAAATGGGGTTAATAGTAATACCTTAGGCATAGGCCGTTGGGTGGACTACATGGGTTTAAGTGTTTTGAGTTGTGAGGCTTGTTCATGGTTGTGTGTGTTAGTGGTTATAGCCCATCAATGAAGGTATAGGTTTGCCACTGCATCACTCAGATAATCCAGCATAGTGTCCAACACAAAGTCAGCATCAATAAGTACTTCTGAAATGGGCAAAGAGCTCCTTTCCTCCCTCCCATTTCCCAGCCTCACTCTACCCCTAGAACAGTTCTCGCTTCTCAGGCTAGCTGGCTCCTGGAGACATCTGTGACCAGATCCACTAGCCTCTCCATACCAGCTGTGGGAGGCTGGGTGGCAGATGGGATGGCGCAAGCCCCAGCCCCATGAGTGCCATATTTTCCCAGTTAACGCTGTGGGCGGCCCGGCCTTTCCCAGGCAGCTGTGCGGGCGCCTCTCCAGCCTGGCTAGAGTTCCTGGGGAGAGGACACAGAGAGGAGGAGCCTGGGCCTCTATTTATATGTGTCAGAGGCAAGGAGAAGTGACAGCTGTTCCAGCAGTGGTTTCCAAATGCAGCGGGGGATTAACAACATCTGCACCCTCTCGAGAGCAGAGTCCTGTGCTCCACTAGGGAGGATTCTGACCTCTATTGTAAAACACCTCTTAGGTTAGGTGCTGTTGGCTCACGCCTGTAATCCTAGCTACTCAGGAGCCTGATAGCTGAGGATTTGGGTTCAAAGCCAATCCAGGCAGAAAGTCCATGAGACTCTTATCTCCAATTAACCAGCAAAACGCCGGAAGTGGAGCTGTGGCTCAAGTGGCAGCATGCCAGTCTTGAGTGAATAAACTAAAGCACAGCTTCTAGGACTTGAGATCAAGCCCCAGTACTCACACACACACACACACACACACACACACACGCCTCTTTATTTATTTTTACCTTTTAAAATTGTTATTATAAAGGTGATGTGCAGAGGGGTGACAGTTACATAAGTCAGGTAATGAGTACATTTCTTTTTGGACAACGTCACCCCCTTCCCTCGCTCTCTCCTAGTTTTTCCCTCCCGTCCTCACCTATAAGTTGTATAGTTCCATTTTCAACACAGTGTCTGGTAAGTACCACAGCTGCAGCTGCCTCCTGTTCAAATAAGGATTGAATGCCTGCTAGTTCTAGGCTCTGAACAAAACATTAGTATTTGCCTTTTAGACTTTGAATTCTAGAAGAGGAGATAAACAGCAGCAACTTATTTTAAAAGACCATAACTTCCATGAAACATAATAATGACTGAGCGCTGGATAGAGTGAAGGCTTGGGAATCCAGGGTGAGGTGAAGGGGTGGTGATAGTGTGAATAAGATGCTGTCAGGGACCTCACTGGTAGATGAGGTCTGAGCCTTATCTCCTCTCAGTTAGAGGGAGCAGCATGGGCAGGAGCTGAGGCAGTTGGGTGCCTGCCACGCAGACACAGTGACAGCCAAGTAAGAGGTGAGTGGCCACAGGGACATGATGGGGTAAGGAAATTAGGGTGAGGGATGTTTCACGGATGGCACAGAGCTGTAGAGATCTTGCTAGGACTTTGACCCCAAGTGAACTCGATAGGAAGTGACAGTCTGATTTGGCTTTTGAGGAGGTCGCCTCCCACTGCTTTGTGAAGAGCGCACTGTGGTTCAGGAAGTTCTGACTTCACGTGTCATTAACCGTAACGCGTCTCCTCCTTCCACAGAGTTCCTACTGTCCCAGTAAAAAACTTAAATGGATCCAGTCCTGTCAACCCTGCCCTGGCAGGTAAGAGCTCTGCTTACAGGAATGAAGCAAGCAGTGGGCAGGTATAAATGGGAGAGAAGATGAATGCAAAGCGAAGAGGCAATTTCAGGATTTGTTGCAGGAAGAGTTTTTGGGGGGGGGGGGGGGGGGAAGGGTTGTTAGAGCTGAGCGTGCTGTTTTAAGATGAGCACGTAGAGAAGCCATGCCTGGGGAGGACTCTGGTGGAAAGGAGGAGAAGCAGTGAGTGGAGAGGGAGGGATCTGCGGAGTGTGGCGAGCTGGTTCTCTCATCCATCCTAAACCAGGCCCCACCCCTTCCAGGAATCACTGGGATCCTCATGAGCGCCGCTGGATTGCCTGTGTGTCTCACCAGACCACCGAAGCTGGTCCTCCACCCGCCCCCTGTCAGCAAGAGCGAAATCAAATCCATCCCCGGAGTTTCTAACACAAGCCGCAAGACCACCAAAAAGCAAGCTAAGAAAGGTACCGGCTTCTTCTTCCTCTGAGGGGAATCAAGCCAAGAGGCAGAGACTTGGGCTTCCAACCCTGGCTCTGCCTCCCACCATTTAGGCAATAAAGTTCTGCATCTGCGCAGTGGGCTTCGCCAGTAGATTGTGATGGTTAGGCCCCGAGTGGACTGTGTAAGGAGGAGATAGAACCACCTTGGAAAATACAACTATGTAGCACAACAACACAGAGACATATTAAGGATAGTGCAGAGAAAGAGATGGCATGTTCAAAGAGAAAGATCACATTGACTTCAGCACCAAAACACTGGCTTCATATCCCGACTTTATCCCTTGCTAGTTAGGTGGCTACATAGAACCTGCACATATTCTAGCAGCCATCGGGCTATTACTCCCACCTTCTAGAACCACAGGGTTTTCTCTCCTTAGCTTTATGGTTGCTCTTTTATTTGTTGCTAGAACTGGTTACAAAATGATGTTCTCATCCCTTCAAATCCTCACTTTGCAGCCTTTTTTTTTTTTTTTTTTTTTTGTCAGTCGTGGGGCTTGAACTCTGGTCCTGGGCGCTGTCCCTCAGCTCTTCAGCTCAAGGCGAGCGCTCTACCACTTGAGCTACAGCGCCACTTCCAGTTTTCTGGTGGTTTATTGGAGATAGGAGTCTCACAGTCTCTCCTGCCCGGGCTGGCTTTGAACCGCGATCCTGAGATCTCAGCCTCCTGAGTAGCTAGGATTACAGGCGTGAGCCACCAGTGCCCGGCTTAGCCTTTTTTTTTTTTTGGTGAAGTTTAAGTCAGGTCATGAAAATGTTAAACTTAGCCCAGGACCTGGCTAGTGTAATAAACTTTCAATTAACTGCAGTTCCATTCTTAAAAGAGAAACAGGACAGTGGGTGGGAAGTGCCCGCATCTCAGCCTTTCGAAGGGTCTGTCGCATGAGCCACTTCCTCAAACCCTTGCCCTACTTTTCTAGTCTGTTAAAATTTCACTTCTTAAGTGAGTCCAATTGCCTTGCTCATAGTCCGACAGGAAGTGTCAGGATTTTACACTTTCCCACTCTTCCTGATATTATTAATAGCACATGCCACCCTTATCTGGCAAAGTGCTTTAAGGGCTGTACATTTATGAGCTCATTAGTTGTCAAAGCCCAACCTGGAGTTAGATGCTCTCCATCTTCCTGGTTTTACAGATAAGAAAAGGGAAGCTCAGGGAAGTTAAGAGAGTGAGTCAAGGTGGCACTGATCTCTTTTCCTCTGTGACTCCCGGAGTGCTGGTGTGACCCCATTTTCTGCCTTCAGACAGGCCTCCGTCCTAAGGCTCCAGCCCCTGAAGAATTCCCCAGATCCTTGTAGCCTGTCAGGATGCAGCTGCTGGATTCCATCTGCTGGACAGTGGCAGCTTTTTCCAAAAGCCAGAAGCACTGGCCTGAGGTCCTAACTTTCTGACTACCCAGAAAGATAACCTTCCACTACCTGTATTTTCATTCAAATTCTTAAAGCCAGTTGCTGAATGAATTGTTCCCACTTCTGCTTTGAACTTGGTTCTAACTCTCCTCTCTAGCACACAGAGGATGAGAAAGCTAGTTGATTCCTTCAGTCTACTTTGATGACCCAATCATTCTCCTGTGCTGCAGGTAAAACCCCAGAGGAAGTACTGAAGAAGTATCTGCAGAAGGTCCGGCATCCACCAGAGGAGGTGAGTGCAGGAGGGTGAGGCAGGGCGGGCCTTCATCACCCATGAGCATGCCCCCATCAGTTTTCTACAATGTAGAGTGGGAGCAACTTCCTGGACAAGCTGAAACCCAGGCTCCAAGACTAACAGTGAAGAACAGCACTATGTCAAGGCACAGAAACTCACTTTAAAATAGTCAATTCAGACTGGTGGTTCTTAGCCCAAATAATTTTTCTCCTTGGCCATGTCTGGAGATACTTGTGGTTATAGCAGTTGTTGAGGACTGTGGTTGTGATGTACACTGAGGAGGACTGTGGTTGTGATGGATGCTGAGGAGGACTGTGGATGTGATGGTTGCTGAGGAGGACTGTGGATGTGATGGATGTTGAGGAGGACTGTGGTTGTGATGGATGTTGAGGAGGACTGTGGTTGTGATGGATGTTGAGGAGGACTGTGGATGTGATGGATGCTGAGGAGGACTGTGGATGTGATGGATGCTGAGGAGGACTGTGGTTGTGATGGTTGAGGAGGACTGTGGTTGTGATGGATGTTGAGGAGGACTGTGGTTGTGATGGATGTTGAGGAGGACTGTGGTTGTGATGGATGTTGAGGAGGACTGTGGTTGTGATGGATGCTGAGGAGGACTGTGGATGTGATGGATGCTGAGGAGGACTGTGGTTGTGATGGATGCTGAGGAGGACTGTGGTTGTGATGGTTGAGGAGGACTGTGGTTGTGATGGTTGAGGAGGACTGTGGTTGTGATGGATGCTGAGGAGGACTGTGGTTGTGATGGATGTTGAGGAGGACTGTGGTTGTGATGGATGTTGAGGAGGACTTGGTTGTGATGGTTGAGGAGGACTGTGGATGTGATGGATGCTGAGGAGGACTGTGGATGTGATGGATGCTGAGGAGGACTGTGGATGTGATGGATGCTGAGGAGGACTGTGGTTGTGATGGTTGAGGAGGACTGTGACTGTGATGGATGTTGAGGAGGACTGTGGTTGTGATGGTTGAGGAGGACTGTGGTTGTGGTGGATGCTGAGGACTGTGGTTGTGATGGATGCTGAGGAGGACTGTGGATGTGATGGTTGTTGAGGAGGACTGTGGATGTGATGGATGCTGAGGAGGACTGTGGATGTGATGGATGCTGAGGAGGACTGTGGTTGTGATGGTTGAGGAGGACTGTGGTTGTGATGGATGTTGAGGAGGACTGTGGTTGTGATGGATGTTGAGGAGGACTGTGGATGTGATGGATGCTGAGGAGGACTGTGGATGTGATGGATGCTGAGGAGGACTGTGGTTGTGATGGATGCTGAGGAGGACTGTGGTTGTGATGGATGCTGAGGAGGACTGTGGATGTGATGGATGCTGAGGAGGACTGTGGTGGTGATGGATGTTGAGGAGGACTGTGGTTGTGATGGATGCTGAGGAGGACTGTGGTTGTGATGGTTGAGGAGGACTGTGGTTGTGATGGATGTTGAGGAGGACTGTGGTTGTGATGGATGTTGAGGAGGACTGTGGTTGTGATGGATATTGAGGAGGACTGTGGTTGTGATGGATGTTGAGGAGGACTGTGGTTGTGATGGTTGAGGAGGACTGTGGTTGTGATGGATGTTGAGGAGGACTGTGGTTGTGATGGTTGAGGAGGACTGTGGTTGTGATGGATGTTGAGGAGGACTGTGGTTGTGATGGATGCTGAGGAGGACTGTGGATGTGATGGTTGTTGAGGAGGACTGTGGATGTGATGGATGCTGAGGAGGACTGTGGTTGTGGTGGATGCTGAAGAGGACTGTGGATGTGATGGTTGTTGAGGAGAACTGTGGATGTGATGGATGCTGAGGATTGTGGGTGTGATGGTTGTTGAGGAGGACTGTGGTTGTGATGGATGCTGAGGAGGACTGTGGTTGTGACGGATGCTGAGGAGGACTGCGGTTGTGATGGATGTTGAGGAGGACTGTGGATGTGATGGATGCTGAGGAGGACTGTGGTTGTGGTGGATGCTGAAGAGGACTGTGGATGTGATGGTTGTTGAGGAGGACTGTGGATGTGATGGATGCTGAGGATTGTGGGTGTGATGGTTGTTGAGGAGGACTGTGGTTGTGATGGATGCTGAGGAGGACTGTGGTTGTGACGGATGCTGAGGAGGACTGCGGTTGTGATGGATGTTGAGGACTGTGGTTGTGATGGATGCTGAGGAGGACTGTGGTTGTGATGGATGTTGAGGAGGACTGTGGATGTGATGGATGTTGAGGAGGACTGTGGTTGTGATGGATGCTGAGGAGGACTGTGGATGTGATGGATGTTGAGGAGGACTGTGGATGTGATGGATGCTGAGGAGGACTGTGGATGTGATGGTTGAGGAGGACTGTGGTTGTGATGGTTGAGGAGGACTGTGGTTGTGATGGTTGAGGAGGACTGTGGTTGTGATGGATGTTGAGGAGGACTGTGGATGTGATGGATGTTGAGGAGGACTGTGGTTGTGATGGATGCTGAGGAGGACTGTGGATGTGATGGATGTTGAGGAGGACTGTGGATGTGATGGATGCTGAGGAGGACTGTGGATGTGATGGTTGAGGAGGACTGTGGTTGTGATGGTTGAGGAGGACTGTGGTTGTGATGGTTGAGGAGGACTGTGGTTGTGATGGATGCTGAGGACTGTGGATGTGATGGATGCTGAGGAGGACTGCGGTTGTGATGGATGCTGAGGAGGACTGTGGATGTGATGGATGCTGAGGAGGACTGTGGATGTGATGGATGTTGAGGAGGACTGTGGATGTGATGGATGCTGAGGAGGACTGTGGTTGTGGTGGATGCTGAAGAGGACTGTGGATGTGATGGTTGTTGAGGAGAACTGTGGATGTGATGGATGCTGAGGATTGTGGGTGTGATGGTTGTTGAGGAGGACTGTGGTTGTGATGGATGCTGAGGAGGACTGTGGTTGTGACGGATGCTGAGGAGGACTGCGGTTGTGATGGATGTTGAGGAGGACTGTGGATGTGATGGATGCTGAGGACTGTGGTTGTGATGGATGTTGAGGAGGACTGTGGATGTGATGGATGCTGAGGAGGACTGTGGTTGTGGTGGATGCTGAAGAGGACTGTGGATGTGATGGTTGTTGAGGAGAACTGTGGATGTGATGGATGCTGAGGAGGACTGTGGTTGTGATGGTTGAGGAGGACTGTGGTTGTGATGGTTGAGGAGGACTGTGGTTGTGATGGATGCTGAGGAGGACTGTGGATGTGATGGATGCTGAGGAGGACTGTGGTTGTGATGGTTGAGGAGGACTGTGGATGTGATGGATGCTGAGGAGGACTGTGGTTGTGATGGATGCTGAGGAGGACTGTGGTTGTGATGGTTGTTGAGGAGGACTGTGGTTGTGATGGTTGAGGAGGACTGTGGTTGTGATGGTTGAGGAGGACTGTGGATGTGATGGATGCTGAGGACTGTGGTTGTGATGGATGCTGAGGAGGACTGTGGTTGTGACGGATGCTGAGGAGGACTGCGGTTGTGATGGATGTTGAGGACTGTGGTTGTGATGGATGCTGAGGAGGACTGTGGTTGTGATGGATGTTGAGGAGGACTGTGGTTGTGATGGATGTTGAGGAGGACTGTGGATGTGATGGATGTTGAGGAGGACTGTGGTTGTGATGGATGCTGAGGAGGACTGTGGATGTGATGGATGTTGAGGAGGACTGTGGATGTGATGGATGCTGAGGAGGACTGTGGTTGTGATGGATGCTGAGGAGGACTGTGGTTGTGATGGTTGAGGAGGACTGTGGATGTGATGGTTGAGGAGGACTGTGGTTGTGATGGTTGAGGAGGACTGTGGTTGTGATGGATGCTGAGGAGGACTGTGGTTGTGATGGTTGAGGAGGACTGTGGTTGTGATGGTTGAGGAGGACTGTGGTTGTGATGGTTGAGGAGGACTGTGGTTGTGATGGATGCTGAGGAGGACTGTGGTTGTGATGGATGCTGAGGAGGACTGTGGTTGTGATGGTTGAGGAGGACTGTGGATGTGATGGTTGAGGAGGACTGTGGTTGTGATGGTTGAGGAGGACTGTGGTTGTGATGGATGCTGAGGACTGTGGATGTGATGGATGCTGAGGAGGACTGTGGTTGTGATGGATGCTGAGGAGGACTGTGGATGTGATGGATGCTGAGGAGGACTGTGGATGTGATGGATGCTGAGGAGGACTGTGGTTGTGATGGATGCTGAGGAGGACTGTGGTTGTGATGGTTGAGGAGGACTGTGGTTGTGATGGTTGAGGAGGACTGTGGTTGTGATGGATGCTGAGGAGGACTGTGGTTGTGATGGTTGAGGAGGACTGTGGTTGTGATGGTTGAGGAGGACTGTGGTTGTGATGGTTGTTCAGGAGGACTGTGGTTGTGATGTACACTGAGGACTGTGGTTGTGATGGTTGTTCAGGAGGATTATTGTGATGTTTGAGGAGGACTGTGGTTGTGATGGTTGTTGAGGAGGACTGTGGATGTGATGGTTGTTGAGGAGGCCTGTGGTTGTAATGGTTGTTGAGAAGGACTGTGTTTGTACTCTGAGGAAGACTGTGGTTGTGATGGACGCTGAGGAGAACTGTGATTATGATGGATGTTAAGAAGAACACACCTGGCATCTAATAGACAGAGACCAGGGTTACTGCTAAATACTGCACAGTGCCTAGGTCAGCGCCTACCACAAAGAATTACCCTACTGAGAACGTCAAAATGCTGAAATTGGAAAAGCTGTTGTCAGTTTACTCAAATAGCAGTCTGTTCAGTACATTTGGAATATAATTCTTTCATAGACATTAGCCTTAAGCAAAACTTGCTAGTGCACCTTATCAACAAGCCATTGAGCTGTAACACCTCTGCACTACTAATAAACTGTTCAACAAAGTGAATACCAGGAAACTGAATCATGTTTGTGGAGGGAGAAGGGGAAGAGGTCAAAAGAAGACAGACAAATGGAAGGGTAGGCATACACGGTGTACATTCAGTGTGCATATGTGAGAATGGATCCACATAAACTGAGGGTATGGATGAGGTTGGAAAAGCGGGGATAGAACCATGGAAAGGAAGACTGATCAAGATGCATTGTACTCATAAAATGATTTGTTGAATTAAAACCCCTTTGTACGTCTGCTTAAAGAATAACAACAATAATAAAAAGAAGTCGTTGGAGGGCACCAAAGAAGGACAGACTGGGTGTGGTGGCTCATGCCTGTAATCTCAGCACCCAGGAGGCAGAGGATTGCAGTTTGAGGCCAGCCCAGGGTGCCCCGCCCCATCTTAACAAATAAACCAGACAGTGTGCCAATCTATGCTAGCAAGCCATGGATAGGAGGATCTCAGCCATCCCCCAGCAAAAATGTGAGACCCTATCTAAAACCTAACTAGGGCATGGTTCAGGTAGAAGAGTGCCTACCTGAAAAGCACAGCCCTGATTTTAAACCCAATACCACAAGAAAAGAAGGAAAAGAAACAGGGACAATACTTCATCGTCACCAAGAAGCGTGTAATATAGCTGATGGGCCCAAGTCAACACATTCCACAATCAGGAATTATTTCAGCAATTTCCCGATTTTGTAAAGTAAGAAACATTCCTAAAAGCACACCCACTCTGAGTTACTGGGCTATCTGGAAACCACTCATCTGACCGCTACAATCCTGAGGGAACCACCATTTGCTGGCCACCCAGGCTGAGCGAGGGCTGACAGCCTCTCTGTTCTCTTTGCTCTGCCCCAGGACTGCACCATCTGCATGGAGCGCCTCACAGCCCCCTCAGGTTACAAGGGCCCACAGCCAACCATCAAGCCTGACCTGGTGGGCAAGCTGTCCCGATGTGGACATGTCTACCATATCTACTGCCTGGTGGCCATGTACAATAACGGGAACAAGGTTAGTGCCGCTCAGTGAGGCCTGCTGGCCCCAAAGCTGGTCTGTGAAGGATCAAGAGCGTGGAGTCCCTCCTCGTTCCTACCCTGGGGTGATCTGGGGAGTCTCACAGACAATACAGAACGGCACGGCTGAGCAGGGGCTATTATCCCCCAAATCGCAGTGTTAAGGAAACCTGCCTTCTCTGGGTCAGCTTCCCCAATCTGTACATTGGGTATGCTGGTCTGAGCGGAGGTGAACGTCTCATCCATGGGGATTCTGAGGAGAGTACCCCGGTCTTACAGCCTATGGCTGGGTAAAGTGGGTCCCCATCCAAGAAGAAGGTATTCTCTTATCACAGCGCTGGGCCCAGGGTGTGTGTTCACGCTGGTGTGAAAGGGTTCACGTGGCCTTTCTCCGGGCTAGCAATCTAATGGTGTTACATTCTAATTCGTTTTCCTCTGGTAGCTTCAAAAGTACTTCTTTCTTTGTGCTTGCTTGCTTGTTTGCTTTTCTTCTGTCATACTGGAGCTTGAACTCAGGCTCTAGGCGCTGTCTCTTAACTTTTTTTTTTTTTTGCTCAAGGATGGCATTCTACTGCTTGAGCCACAGCTCCACTTTTGGCCTTTTGCTAGTTAATTGGACTTTCCTGCTTTGCGCTGGCTTTGAATCTGAATTCTCAGATCAGAGCTTCCTAACTAATTAGGATAATAGGCATAAGCCAACAGCACCCAGCCTTAAAACACTCCTGATTGGCCTTCCAAAGGCATTAAAGACTTGTGAATGTCTACCTGTCTACCCGGTAATCTCTCGGCCCTCAGCGCTCCCCTTTCCCCCTTGGAGGATGGGAGAGCTGTTTGTCTCCACGAGTTGACACTGATCCCCATTCAGCTCTCAGAGAGACTTCCTAGGTGATGATTTTTCTCTTATGATGTCTGCCTGTTTCTGCATTATTGATTTAGGTTCTTTCCTATGCCTAGTGTAACCTTCACTGCCATTTCCATGAATTCGAATCCTACTGATTTCTCTAGGCCAAGCTTATTTCACATCCAAGTCTACAATTTTTCTTATATCCCTCTCAACTTTCTACTTATCCAAGAAAATATCTGTCTTTAATTGAAGGGCTGTTCTTAAGATCTCTTGCTAGTGGGGGGGGGGGGGGGGGGAGGGGGGGGAGGGAGGGCAGGGAGGAGTTGGAGTTGAGCAGAAGTAAAAGAGGAAGCAGACCGCACTAGGCTTCTGAGTTAGGAGCTAAATGATGTTGGGCCAGACTATTTGGATCCATCAGAGTACATTTTCCATCTGTGAAGTGGAGATAAAAAAAAATAATACCAGCTGATAAAGCTGGTATTATTATTATTATTATTATTATTATTATTATTATTCAAAATGAAATCTCTTTGTACTATGGCTGTATTTTCCCCTTTCATCTTTATGAACCCTTTAGGATTGATGTTCCCAAAGGTCCCACCTTGGGATCTTTTTTAAATTATTATTAATTTTCATTTTACAAAGCAGTTTATGAATATAATCCCCCTTGATCAATTTCACCCCATCAACATCCTCACCCATCCCTCCCAACCTACCTTTTCCCTCACTTGTCTTAATTGTATAGGTTATACATTGAATTCTTTTTTTTTCCCCTGTCAGTCATGGGGCTTGAAGTCCAGGCTTGAACTCTTGTCCCTGAGCTCTTTTGCTCAAGGCTAATGCTCTACCATTTTGAGCCACAGCCCCACGTCCAGTTTTCTGGTGATTAATTGGAGATAAGAGTCCTCACAGACTCTCCTGCTTAGGGTGGCTTCGAACTTCGGGCTTCAGATCTCAGCCTCCTGAGTAGCTAGGATTACAGGTATGAGCCACTGGCGCCCGGCTCTCCATTGAATTCTTGGCTGAATTCTGTTCTTCTCTCCATTCGTCTACCCTTCTCCCCTTGACCCCATGCCACTTTTTTCAAATACGTGTTTCCTGGTATTTATTTCATGGAACTTTGACTTTGCAACATTGGACTCTTTCTCAAGTTCCTAGGGATGGAGGGTAAAAGTCTGGATCCTGTGCTCAGCCCCGGACTGATGGCTTTTGTTGGAACCTCTGGTGTTCAGAGGTTATTTTGGATTTAGAGGAAGTTCCTGAGCTCATTCATTCCATTTTGGATGACTGAATTCAAGAATGCCTAAGTAACTGGTTGCATTTGTGTCTGTAACGCTTCAGAAATGTTTCCTAAGGCATTCTCTTTTGTTCTCCTTTGCCCTCAGACTTTGAAGTGCATGTCTTGATGTTATCAAACAGACTCAGAGAGAATGGAGGGACTCCACCAGAGGTCATGAAGAGAGTTAAGGCCACCACAGAGAATGGAATGCTGTTTTCAGAGGGAGAGAGAGTAGTTGCCCTGAATAGGAGCCATTCCTCTAAATGAATGAAAATGTCCTCAAAAATAGCTCTACCGAGGAGCTCTGTCTTCCTGAAGAGAAGCGGGTAGCAGTGAGGGCTTGGCTCCTAGCTTTCTACTGAAGTTGCTCTAAGCCTTCTCCGGCTCTGCCCCCACACTGCTTTTTGTTTGTTTGTTTGTTTGTTTCTGTTTTTATGAGTCTGGGAATCGGATTTGCTGTCCAGATCCTGCCCCGATTCTCCCCTCTCACCAGGTGACACCAGGTCCTGCTGTGAAAACCATGACGCTTCACATCACTACCTCCAGAATATGTTAGTCACTTTTCATTGCTATGACAAAATACCTGATAAAAATAGCTTAAAAGAGGAAAGATTTATTTTAGCTCACAGTTTCGGAGACTTTAGTCTTTTTTCAAGAAGGAGAGGAAGAGGGAGAGGGAAAGAGAAAGAACAGGAGAGAGAGAGAAAGAGAGGGGCTGTGGACAAGATAGACCCTTCCAAGGCACACTGCCAGTAACCTGCCTCCTTCAACAATCCCTGCCTCCTACATCTCCACAACTTTCCAATAATACCATCAAATTATGACTCTATCCGTAGTTATGTCCACTGATGAGGTCAAAGCCCTCATCTCCAATCACTTCCCTACAGCCCATCAACTGCCATCCAATCCTTTACCGCACAAGCTCCTGGATGACATTCCAGACTGAAACCATGGCAACCCCTTGGGCCACTAACAGAGTTGCTGGGGGGGGGGGGGGGGAAAGGGGGGGTTGGGCAGAGCAGATCCACTGGAGTTCTAGCTCTGGCTGGCCGCAAGCCCTTTCATCTTACTGTGCCTGAAGTCTCTTCTCTATAAAACAGGCTTGTAATTCCTTCCTAGTTCCTATCAGAAGATGAGGCCTAAATAAGAGAACATGAAAACTGTAGCACAAGATTTGAAATACTGCAGTTATTCCCTCTAGCTATTTATCATCACCCACACTTGTAAGCCAGTTTATAACTTTTCAAGGATTATTTTTCTAGAATCGTCTTCAGTTATTCCAGTACAGTGCCCAATTTATCTTTCTGAAGGAGTAACTTCCAAACCTGTGTAGGCATTTTGTCCTTCCATAGAAATCATCAAATACTGAGAAATGCCGCCGCTGCTAGACACCCATGGATTATCTCATTTAATTCTTCCACAACCCAAGGACACAGATACTATTATTATCCTTGTTCTGCAAGGAAACTGAAAAATAAAAGAGCTAAGGAGTATATCCAAGGTCACGCAGCAGGTTAGAATGACAGAACTGAGAAATCCAGGAAGCTTGACTTTAAATGTTATATTCCAAACTCCTCTCCCATCTGTTTCAGTGGACCTGGTGTGGGGTCAGACATCTTTATTTTTAGAAAACTCCCTAGATAATCACGGCTCCCAGATACTTGCTGTCTGTTCCTCTCATTTTGGGAGTTAAATCGTGATTCCTGAAGCAGGCTCTCTGTCCTGCTTAGCTGATCTCCTCATTGGGAACATCTCTCTTACGTCCCATAGCTTGAATTGTGGGTTATTTGTGCATTTTTTTCCTGTTACTTTGGAAAAGGCAGAAACGGGCCTAACTGTCTGGACAGGGTTTGGGTGTATTCTTCAGAGGGGTGCATATCATCCTTCTGCCCTTGATCATTGTGAGCTGGATGAGAGGTGATCGCTAAAGCCCTTCTCCAATCTTTCTGTTTTGGGTTTGCCTCCTTAGGATGGTAGTCTGCAGTGTCCAACCTGTAAGACCATTTATGGGGTGAAGACAGGCACCCAGCCTCCCGGGAAGATGGAGTACCACCTCATCCCGCACTCTTTGCCTGGCCACCCAGACTGCAAAACCATCCGGATTATCTACAGCATCCCCCCTGGCATTCAGGTGAGATGGCCACAAGGCTTGGCTTGGATTGTTTGCAGGTAACATGTTATGCCATGAAAAGTCTCCTTCCTACTCTTGTCTGCCTTCTGCGGGGCCCAGCTCCCCGCACTCACCCAACATACATACATACACACTATTGTTCTTATTTTCTTACGTTTCCTTCCAGGATTCTTTGTGCACAGGCAGCAGAGATTGCATCCACCCCTCCCATTTTTACACAAAGAGTGGCATTTTTGGTGCATTGTTTTACACCCTGCATTTTTCAATGAACAATGTAGTCTATAGCTTCCCCCATGTCCGTATAGAAAGAGCTTCCTCATTCTTTCTTAGGCCTGCGTAATAAACCGTTGTATAAATAACTCAATTCCCTCCCATTTGACATTCATATGTATTTTTCTAATCTTTTGTTATAATAAATAGTGCTGTAATGAATAGCCTTGCACCCACACAAGTCTATCGGTAGAGATGTTTTTAGAAGTGGAATTTTTTTTTTTTGGTTGGTTGTAGGGCTTGAACTCTGGGCCTGGGTGCTGTCCCTGAGCTCCTCAGCTCAAGACTAGCACTGTACCACTTGAGCCACAGCACCACTTCCAGAAGTGGAATTCTTTTTTTTAATTATATTTTTATTATCTTTAAGTAGTTGTACAAAGAAATTACCATTCAACAAATCTGTTTAAGGATACAGTGCATCTTGATCGATGTCGCCCCTTTCCTTAGAAGTGGAATTCTTGGCTGAGCAGTTATTTACAGTTTGACTTTGACAGTTACACAAGGCTTTGCTTTTTGGATTTGGAAAGACAGTCCTAGGGAACAAATCTGAATAATCTTCCTTCCTACAAGTAAATGCAACCAAGTCCCTCTCTTCACACAGTGAAGCTTTTTCTAAAGTTCTGAATATTCTAGGATGCGGACTGGATTCATTTCTTCAGCCTATATCTATTAGTTTGGCCTCTTTTACTCCCTCTTACTTGAATTCTACGAGTTTTGTCTTTTACCTAACAAATACTTGAGGGTGAATTGTGGTGTAGGCATATTCCTGGTACTGAACACCGTACAAACCACACAGGGCTTGATCTCTGAAAGCTGAATTCTAGGGAAGCTGGGAGGTCATAAAGTCAACAAATAAACAAGGTAGTTCCAAAGAGTGGTGTGATGAGGAAATAAAACAGGAAGGTATGATAACCCATAAAACAATTGAGAAACACACGATTGCTCGTTGTGGGGAGCAATCAACTGGGAAGGAGAAAAAGATAAATAACTTCACCAACTAACCTAGACCAAAAAAAAAAAAAGGAAGAAAGCAGATGTGCTGCAGATGCCCGGATGAGAGGGAGTGTAAACAAAGGGAAACACAAGGCCTTCCATGTCCAGTGAACCTGAGTTTCCATTCCTGACTGAGTCATCGTACGCTGGAGACTTGGACAGCTGCCTGCTCATGCTGAGCTGGGTCTGTTCACATGTACAGCTGGGAACAGAAGGAGTGGGGTGGGGTGGGAGAGACCATCGTTGTATGCATCTTGGAGTGCTGGACACAGTCTGAAGAGGCGTGGTACTTGGTTGCCTTCATTGTTTGAGGGCTTAGGTGCACCTGTCTGGAAGGGAAAAAGAGACATGGTGTGGAGAGCTCTGAAAGATGTGAAGAAATGGAAAGGATTTTTAGTTGGAAGATTAGAAAGTGGAGATGGGGAAAGGCAATGAGGAAACATTCGAGGCTCGAGGCTTGCTAAGGGGGTAGAGGGACGGAAGTATGATGGGAATGTAGGTGACTAGCAGTGATTGAAAGGGGCTGTAGTCAGGTCACAGGAGGCCTTGAGCACTGGCAGGCATTGAGGAAACCCTTGAAGAGCAGGTGTATGAGTAGGATTATGAAAGGTCACGTGATCAGGAGTAGGCTTTAGGAGAATTGGCCTGACAAAGCCCTGAGAAGGGAAAAGACAGATAAGGAGACCAGGGGAGCAGTCTAGGCCTCCAGTCAGTGGGTTGAGTGTGTTTGGTTAAGTGGAACACTCCTGAACAACCAATTGACTGACCTGGTTTCCATTAGGCTGTGCATTGTAGGAAGCAAAAACATCAGACTCTGATCTAAGATTCAATCCCCAAGACCTACAACTAGTTAACAGCAATCAAGATGGATGAAAATAGGAAAACTGGCAGAAAGAGAATGAAAGTAGACTGTATTGATTGACAAGCACAAAGGTCTGGGTGGGATATTCATTGAGGAGAGGTAACCTTTCAGGCCTCCAAGGCAAATGATCAGAGATCCTCCCCTGGGGTGTGGAGGGGATGTCTGCTGCCTCTGCAGAGCCCTGACTCCTTGAGGAATGCCTGTATTGGGGGGAATGTGTGTCTCGATGCAGACTTAACTGCTGAGAAGCAGTAGCTAGACGCTCAGTTCTGTGTCCCTCAGAACTCTGAGGGTCACGCGAATTTGAGCTTCTGAGAGGCTTTGAGACTTTCGAGCACTGCTTCCCCTGCAGAGAACAAGTCCCTAGAGCAAAAGCTCTGGGCTGCACCGAGACAGAGTCGTGACCGCTCTACCTGGCCACCTGCCCAGAATACACAGCCTGGCTGGGTCAGTGCCAGGCAGAGTTTTGAGTTGGACACATTACCACAACCACCCCCCGACAGGAGAGAAGCAGTTGGAGCCGTGGCCCAACTGAGTGCCCTCACGGAGGTGGTTTGACCAGCAGCAGCCCTGTCTAAGGTGATGCTGGACGATCTGCTGCGGTTCCTCAGGACTGGGAAATCATCACTGTCAGAGCCCGCAGCTCCAAGAAGACATCCCTTCTTTCAGCTTACAGGGACCTTTCTGCTCTCTGAGAACCACACCACACCCCCCCTCTGCCCCTTGCATTTACCCTCTTCATTCAGCTGGTCAAATTATAAGCGATCTTGAGCTGTAGGATTCAAATCCAAACCATACTTTAAAAAAATTAACTTTGGAGCCGGGCGCTGGTGGCTCACGCCTGTAATCCTAGCTACTCAGGAGACTGAGATCTGAGGATCGCGGTTCAAAGCCAGCCCAGGCAGGAGAGACCATGAGACTCCTATCTCCAATAAACCACCAGAAAACCGGAAGTGGCGCTGTAGCTCAAGTGGTAGAGCGCTCGCCTTGAGCTGAAGAGCTGAGAGACAGCGCCCAGGCCCAGAGTTCAAGCCCCACGACCGACAAAAAAAAAAAAAAAAAAAAAAAATTAACTTTGGGCCGTTTTGCACAAGAAAGAATGAAAATACTGTGTGCTCTAAGTTTTGTCATCCACTTGTTCAGCCCGAATGCATTTACTGATCACCTGTGGGACGGTTTGTGTCAGAATTTATGCCTGACATTAGTGACATTGTAGTGGTTGTATCTGCAAGGGTTTTTGAAAACGCATTTTTATCTCTGCAGAGTATGCTCAGAATTGACAGACAAATGTTTGTGCTGGTGACAAATACATACGTGGTGGCTGAAAATCTATGGCTTTCATGAGGTGCTAAAGGGGATCAGTGAAGTCATGGTGGTCCCTAATTAGGAAATCTGGTATCTTGGTGTGTTATGTGTTGCTATAACAGAATACCTGAGGTTGGGCAATTTATCTTAAATAAAGAAAACTCTTTATTCAATGGGAGGAGGATAGGCAAAAGAGAGGGAAGGTGGGCGAATGTGATCATAATCCTCAATGTATGTACATGAAAATAAACAAGAAAACTTGACTAAGATGGGTATGGGAGAGGGGAAGAATGATGGAGGAGGGGACTTTGATCAAGGTGCATTGTCTACATAAATGGATAGGTGAAAAATGAAACCCCCTTGTACAATGTTTTGCAGATAATCTTTTTTAATGTATGAAGGTTTAGGTGGCAATGGCTCTGAAGGCTAGAAAGCTCAAGATCCACAGATATTTCTGGTAGCATTTGGCCAGGACCTCTGGCAGCTTCAACTCATGGCAGAGAACAAAAGAAAGCAGCCCGGCCTTATAGCAAGACACTTTCCCAGTAACCAGTAATCTAGTCTCTTGAGAGCAAGGTGGAAACTCCTGTTAGAAAGGCATCAATCCCTCTGGACAAGCTTGCTAGCCCTTATAGGCCCCATGTATCTAGCTCCAGTGGCAGCTTCATGCCAACAAGAGTTTCAGAAGGGACAAACCATACCCCACACCACAGCACCTGGATCCCAGCTCCGTTCTGCGTCCATTTCTTTCCCAGTCAGTGACTTGAGACTACTTGTTTAATAGGGTATTAAATGATGACAGGTGAAATGTTGCTAACAGATTTTTTTAGTCCTGAATTACACAATCCATGTTGACCACACGCAGACAAATAAAAATCCGTGAGGACAAAGGAGGAGACACACAGGAATGAATTGTTGTAGAATATTCCAGTGGTGCAACTCATAGCTCAGAGACACTTTGTGATTCTGAGTAGTTCAGAGGTGAGAAGCGGAGAATGTGACTTAGGAAATGGAAGCTTCAGTTTCAGCAAAGCTGTGAAGATTGTGGAAGCCATGGGACTTCTCTGGGCTTTAGTTTTTCCTTATTTAGAAAACAGTAAATGATGTTAGTGGCAATGGTGATATTTTAAAAAAAAGAAAAACAACTTTGTTTTCAAGCTTTTCCTGTGCACCTGGGCACCAAAACCACTTAAAATTCACGTCCCACTGAGGGAGTATGTCAAGTATGTCAAAGAGATGAGAAACAGAAACCCAGCTAATCTAACTAGGTCATGCATTTCTCCTCCAATCCCAACTCTAAGGATGTATGCATGTGTAGGAAATAACCAGTTCTCTTACTTTTGGGGTCTCTGTCTAGATTCTTGTCACAGTTTTTATTATCATCATTATTTGAATTAGCTCCAGTTTGTACTTCCTCTTAGCAGATACCTCAATTGATAGATATATTTTTTTTTTGTCAGCCATTGAGTTTGAACTCAGGGCTGAGTGCTGTCCCTTGTTCTTTTTTTTTTTTTGCTCAAGGCTAGCACTGTACCACGCTGAGACACAGCTCCACTTTCCGGTGTTTAGGTGGTTAATTGGAGATAAAAGTGTCATGGACTTTCCTTCCCCAGGCTGCCTTTGAACCAACATTCTCAGATCGCAGCCTCCTGAGTCAAATATATATTCTTAACATACTGTTTGTTTTCTTTCTGCTTTCAGGGTCCAGAACACCCGAATCCTGGAAAGAGTTTCAGTGCCCGTGGTTTCCCAAGACACTGCTATCTTCCAGACAGTGAGAAAGGGAGAAAAGTAAGAGCAGATGTTTCAGTATGTAGAAATGGGGGGTTTCATCTTTGGTTGGTATCTGAAGTTTCGCTTCCTGTAATGCACAGACCAGAGAGTCCCAGGCCTCTTTTAAGTCTAAATACACCTGGTAACAAGGTCATATCCAAGTCATGTGATCTTAACATGTGAGTCAAGGTCATATCTATCCCATAGGTAGGGTGGATATAATGAGAATGTTTTTGCAAGTGGGTGATCTATTTTAGGATCCCTTGTCTAGAGCCTTGCTGCTTAAAGGATCCTACTAGAAACATAGCATAACCCTTAGGAGCTTAATAGAAATTCAGAACTAGAACCCACCCCATCTTAACAAGATCCCTAGCTCATCATGTTTTATATGGAATTGTGAGGAGTAATGCTCTGGGGCGACCAACTTAATTAGTAGGAGATTATTTTATTTTTATGTACTTTCGTACTCTTGGACTCATTCCAAAAACAGCAGAGGGAGTAATCATCGGGTGTCTGGATTCCTAGTAATTCATAATCAGGCTTCAGTGAACTCTAATTAGAATAGAACTCCTAATTAGGTTCTACGAGCTCTAATTAGAGTAAAAATTTCCATATTTGTCTTTCTGTGGATCAGGACCCAGAAAAAGCAAAAAACAAAAACTACTGGTTTCTCAGCGTCTCTTCTGCTCTCAAGAGGGGAAAGAACCAGTGTGGTTTAATCCGTTTTGCTCTCCAAATTTCAGCAGCTGACTACAACCAATGTTTAGTTTCCATGTACTTTGCATGTCAGTGGTGATATTGTGGCTGTGGATTGTTACAACAAAATACCCCAGGCTGGCTGACTGATAAACAACAGAAATTTATTTCTCACAGTTCTGGAGTCTGAGAAGTTCGAGATCAAGACAGTGGCTGATTTGGTATCTGGCAAGGGTCCACTTCCTGTTCATAGACAAAGCCTTCTTTTTATGACCTCCCGTGGAGCACAGGGTCTCTCCCAGCTGTCTTTTATAAGAGCACTAATCCCATTCATCGAGATTTATTCCCATGACCTAATCGCTGTGGATAGTTCCCACCTCCTAATATTGTCTGTCATCTTGAGAGAAGAATTTCAACGTAGTCCATGTTCTTCCTGTGGAAAGGGGATAGGCAACCAAGACAGAATCCAAGGGGTCGTGTGTCATCCCATTTAGACTTCTAGAAGCTTCTTACATTCCTTCACCTTTCATAGGCCCCATAAAGTCATGGACAGGTTAGGAAGGGTTGAGTAGGTGAAATGTCAACAGGGAGACATTTAGGTCTCATGACAAGAGGTAGGGGTATGTTCCCTGCTTCTCTGATAGTCTAGAACCACAAGAGAATCACCCACACAGTGAAGATGTGCCAACAAAATGTCCTCAGAGGGGCTGGGAAGGTGGCTCAGTGGTAGAGTGATTGCCTTGCATTCCTGAGGCCCTGGGTTCAATTCCTCAGCACCACATAAGCAGAAAAAAGCCCGAAGTGGTGCTGTGGCTCAAGTGGTAGGGTACTAGCCTTGAGCTGAAGAACTGAGAGACAGTGCCCAGGCTCAGAGTTCAGTCTCCACGGCCGACAAAAAAAAAAAAATCAATGTCCTGAGATAAGCAGTCAGGACTAGGCCTCGGGCATCTCTCTTTGAAGAGTCATTTTTCTGTGCCAAAACTGTAGATCAGAATCCCGGCTCTATAGCTTACTATAATGCTTGAATTGTGTTTTCAAGGCTTCTTCTTCTTCCTTCCTCTTTATTTAATGGATTTATTTATTTATTGCCTATCCTAAAGCTTGAATTCTGGGCCTGCACACTCTCTCTGAGCTCCTCTTGTTCAAGGCGAACACTCTACCATTTGAGCCATAGCACCATTTCTGGCTTTTTCTGTGATTTAATTGAAGATAAGAGTCTCACGGTCTTTCCTGCCCAGGCTGGCTTAGAACTGTGATCCTCAGATCTCAGCCTCCTGAGTAGCTAGGATTACAGGCATAAGCCACTGGCTCCCAGCTAGCCTTCTTCTTTAGATTAATTATATTTTCCAAATATGCAGGCGTGAACTAGGCCTTGACATAATCTTATACTGGCAGTCTGACCTGCTGCGTGCATCTGGCTCATTCCTCCATGGATTGCTTTCTAAACAATTTGACTTCTTTTATAATTCTTCCTTCTTACCTACTTAATTCTTCATCATTCCCTTGCTACCAGATCAGTCACCCCAAAGTATGGTTTCTAATGAGAAATGAAATTTGAAAGTAACACACAACGGAGCCGGGCACCAGTGGCTCACACCTATAATTTTAGCTACTCAGGAGGCTAAAATCTGAGGACCATGATTTGAAGACAGCCTTGGGCAAGAAAGTCCAGGAGACTTTTATCTCCAAGTAATGCTAAAAAGCCAGAAGTGTAGCAATGATTCAAATGGTAGAGCATTAGTAGCTTTGAATGAAAAGCTAAGGAATAATGCCCAAGCCTTGAGTTCAAGGCCAAGTCCTGGCACACACAGACAAATAAGAAACAATAAATCATGGTTTTGATGATTCACCCTTTGTTCTTCCCAAAGTAACAATCTTCTCCATTTGACTTAGAATGCCTACCACAGTGTGGATTTGAACTTGCCTCTCTCACTAATGTTCTCTAGTGAAATTCTCGTCGTCCTTGGCTTGCTGTAGTGGACCCTAACTTTGGCTTTGCTGCAGACTGAGGGATGCAACCACATGTGGGCTTTAGAGCTGGGTCAGCTCGAGCTCCAGACCTTGTTCCGCTATGTACTGTCTGTTGAAACTGGTAGAAAGTTTCGTGTTTTTAGACTAACCTGTACATAGCGGTGAGAATTTCTCTCTGTGTGGACAGAACCACTGTAGGAACTAAGTGAAAGTAGCATTTGTAAAATGCAGTGTGATGTCAGCTCTTGTAAATACCCATGCCTTGGGTGTATGTTGACATATCCTTTCCTCTTGATTTACCGTAGATCCTCCCCATTCAGAGAGAGACTCAGCGTCTCTCTCTAAATCTATACTGACCTTTCTCTGAGCTGTGTAGTCAAGCAGAGCCTGGAGGTCAAACTCTTAACTCCCATCCCACGAGCTCCCACCCACCACCTATAAGCTATAAGAGTAAGACATCATTTTTGTTTGTTTGTCTTCTGGGCTTCTATTTTCCATTGTCAGAAAGGCGGGGGGGATCATGAGAGCATGTTCTCATCAATCTCTGTAACCACCACATCTCATCCAATCTCCGTAACCACCACATGACTAAATGCCTTGCATTTAGTAAGTAACCACTTGGGAAATGTTATCTCATATTTTTTAATTTAGTATTATTATTCTACTACCACTCTGCTTTTACAGCCACCAGTCAATAGCATGTTCACAATAGTTTCATTTTGAACCAAAGGAATTTTTATCAGCTGCCTTCTTCACGCTGGATATTATTCTGACCAAGACTTGGAATAGAGCATTAGAGATAAATGTTTCTCACACAAGATTTGGTAGGATTTAGCAAAATAGAAAATTTTGCGAGCCTGGTTACCTTTCTGGGCCTCAATTTCTCCACTTGTGAAATTGGGGCAGTAGTAGTAGTACCAGCCATGTACCTTCTCCAAGTGTGCGTGTGAGGACCAGTGAGGAAATAAATATAAATTATATATATATATATAAAGTAGACCCAAAGAGTTCAAAGTGCTTAACACTGTCACTAGAGATGTACTGTACGTCAAACTTTAGCCATTAGTAAATGAGTTCTATTTTGACATAGTGGTGGTGAAGGGTAGAGATTCCATTTATCAGATCGTAAGCACCTTTAATTCCTGCATACTGCACTTTAAAATGTATATTTTGCCGAATGCTGGTGACTCATCTTTGTAATCCCAGCTACTCAGGAGGCTGAGATATAAGGATCATGGTTCGAAGCCAGCCCAGGCAGGAAATTCCGTGAGACTCTTATGTCCAATTAACCACTCAAAAAACTGGAAGCGGTGCTGTGGCTCAAAGTAGTGCAACACTAGCCTTGAACCAAAAAGCTCAGGGACAGCACATAGGCCCTTAGTTCAAGCCCCATGACTGACCAAAATAATAATACTATAATAATAATACTACTAATAATAAAATATCTCATGTTTGTAGCTTATACTTTGAAGTACTGTAATCCATAAACTGGTATGAAAATGCTTTCCATGTAGTCTTCATAACTTTTGGGGCAGATTATATGATCACTATTTTCTAAATGTGGGAATTAAAGAGATGCTTGAGGGGCTGGGAAAGTGGCTCCGTGGTAGAGTGCTTGCCTTGCATGCATGAGGCCCTGGGTTCAATTCCTCAGCACCACATAAGCAGAAAAAGCTGGAAGTGGTGCTGTGGCTCAAAGTGGTAGAGCGCTAGCCTTGAGCTGAAGAGCTGAGAGACAACACCCAGGCCCAGAGTTCAGGCCTCATGACCAGCAAAAAAAAACAAACAAACAGACAAACAATAAAGAGACGCTTGAATTTCCACAAACTCCCCCCATTATTCATTCGTAGAGCTGAGACTCACACTTTTACTCCAAGTTCTAATCTTTCTCCCACTGGATTGCTTCCCACACGGGTGATTGAGGAAGGCGTAGGGGACCCTTGGGACAGCTCTGCTGTCCCAGAGATAAGTGTCTGACCCACCGTGAACACCTGCCTTTGTTTCCCTATCTTCGTCCTGCTAGGTTCTGAAGCTGCTGCTTGTGGCCTGGGACCGCCGCCTCATCTTTGCTATCGGGACCTCCAGTACCACGGGCGAGTCAGACACCGTCATTTGGAACGAAGTGCACCACAAGACAGAGTTTGGCTCTAACCTCACTGGCCACGGCTACCCAGATGCCAATTACTTGGATAACGTGCTGGCTGAATTGGCTGCCCAGGGCATCTCAGAGGACAGCGCTTCCCAGGACAAGGACTGAGGCTGGAAGGGTTTTGATAACCACCAGGTCCATGGGGGACTGCAGAACAGCAAGCAGGGAGAGTTGAGGTAGAAGTTGCTACCATGCCTTCCTGACTCCCTCATCTCCCCTCTTGCCCCGTCTCCATCCTTCATCCCCCCCCAGCCTCAGGGGGGTACACCCAGATGGACAAAGGTGATGTCATTCATAAACTTCATCCAACATACAGGGGACGTGGGTTGAAGATCATCCTTAGTCTGGTCCCGTGGAGTGTTCTGGTGCTGGGTAGGCAAGGACTCTCCCCCTCCCTCCTCCAAGTAGGGGGTCATGGCCAGCACATTTCAGGGTATGGACGGTACATGGGCTTGCCATACCTTGACCTTGTGAGGCAGAAGTTCTTTGCCCCAGGAAGCTTCTTGCTGTTTCCGCTCTGCTTTGAAAGCGGAATTTCCACCTCTCTCTCTTTCTTGTGAGACAGGGAGGTGCCACTGTGCCAGGCTGGAGGAAGGGCGAAGGGGAAGGCCCCGCCAAACGGCTGCCACGTCAGAAGTCAAATGCCTTGGTGTAGAGTGGGAAAGCATTTCCTGCTGAGTGGGTCAGAAAGACAGCCTTTCTTTCCTTGAGCTCTTCTCCTAAGTCCTCAGCTTCTCCAGGCCCTTCCGTCCTCCTCCTCCTCCTCCTCACACCCTTGACCTGGTCCAAAGAGGTGTCTGGTTCTCTTGGGTGGATGGAAAGATTCTGGGATGGCATCCCAGAATGCTCTTTCAACCCTTCTCTGATAGAACCAGAACCTGCTGCAGTCTGTTGAGCATCTGCCCTGTCCAAAGGGAGAAGAGCCCATGCCTCCTTCCCAGCTCATCCCAGACCAGCTCAAAGATGCCATGAGTTTCATGAAGTCACTGTGAGAGTAGCCCACACGAGGCTCTGTACTGTTTGTGCATGTGCATATGTGCGTGCGTGCGTGTGTGCATGTGTGTGTGTGTGTGCGTGTGTGTGTGTGCGTGTGTGTGTCACAGGGCCACGCTGTCCCTCAACTCTGTTTCACAAGATGCCAAACCCCAGTTCCGATGGGGATCAAGTAGTCAGGGTCCAGTCCCGTGATTTTTCCTTACCGTGCCTGACTAGCTCATAATGAACTTGCGTCTGGATGGAGTCAGAACAGTACTTGGAGAGATACGATGAGGTGAGAGCTGGGTTCTCCTCCTCTGCCCTCTCCCCTGTTGCTTTTCAAGGCTGGATCAGAGCCAGCCTGCATCCAGTGTCTGTTTCTGTGAGGATTTCAGTCTATCTTCATGCAACTGTCCTAGGTCCAGCCCAGAAATGGTTCTAGATTCCCCGTCCTGCCAACCCCATCGATTACAGATTGACCCAGAGCATGGCAGCAAAGCCTCTTTAGCCCATTCCTAAGCAGGGATGGGACCACATATGGTCTTATCCAACCTGCATCTGGGCTGTGTCCCAGATGCTGTCCATCTCCTCAGAACAGCCTCTTACCTTTGGCTCCCAATAAAGAATGGATTGGGAGTCAAGGAGGAAAGAGGGAGAAATGAAGAAGGGAAACCCAGTTCAGGAAATCCAATTTCATCTTGAAAAGTAGGGGTTTTGTTTTGGTTTTTTTGAACTGTTTGGAGGGAAGTTCCTCTGGATACTAATTTGAATTTATATACCTCACGTTTTGGAGGTTTGTCATATAAATATATATATTCATATATATTTCATAAGATTTGGAAGGTTTTTAATGCTTGGAAAAGTAGAAACAAAGGAACCTTCAACAATGGTACTTAAGACAAAGGCTACGCTTTTGTGAGCGCCAGCTCTGTAGCTGCCTGCCATGGGGCCATTTTGCTATTGGTGTGGCCAGTGGATTCAGCTGAATGCCATGTAGCTCCCGGGACTTGCTGGTGCTGAATTCTCCTTCATGCTCTGAATGGCTACAGGGGCGTTGATTTGTTCCATCAGAAGGAGTTGTGATAGGAGGAATGCTTCCTGTCCTCTTAGCTCCAGTCTCTCCATTCAGTGAGATGCTGATTTGCCTCACCAGCAGACCAGGAGACTGGTCCTGAGTTCACTGCACCTCCAGCTACGTTCCTGCCACAGCTAGGAAGGAAGCAGCAGAACTGTCCCCTTCCATCCCTTGGACAGCCTCACGATAGGATTAGCGTCATCTCCTCCGGCATCCACGCCAAGTACTTGCTAGGCTTATTGGCCACTGGGATGAAGGCCTGTGGGTAGGAACATGCAATGGGAAGCGGAGGGAAAAGACATGAAGAAACTCTTTGGTAGCCGGGAATAGACAGTAGAGAGACGCTTCATCGGGCAGAAGGTGTTAAGTGGGAAGGAGACAGACAAGGACAGGAAGAAGGGGACCCCAGAGGGGGTCTTAAGGAGTCAATGTGCCTGTGGCAATACTCAGCCTTCACACCTACAAGCCTTTCCCCCCTAGGACTGTGATAGGTCCCCGCCCTACTTCTCTTTCTGTCTGGGGATGCTCAGGAGGAGCTACCTCACGCTCCTGCTGCTCTGCTTTGGGCTTGCTTCACAGGAAGGATCTTGGATCTCCTGTCTAACAACTGTGCCAGGTATCACAAGAGGGGCATAGCCTTCCCCTGGTACTAGCCTAGAAAAGTACAGCCTCCATTTCGGGGAGAACCCTGCCCGTAGAACCCCGGGGCACCCACTACGTGGATACAAGGCATTTCCCACTAGAGGCCCTGCTGTGCTCTCCTGGCCTAAGCAGGGGACTCCCGTGCTTTTCCTTTCGTGGTCTTGGCACCAGCAGCCTAGTTCTCCCTTCCTGAGTCTCTAGGGTCAACACCTGGGATTGCAGAGACACACTCGGTCAGACACGCATCCCTTAAAAGGTTATAGGATATATACATGTTTGCCTGTGCCTTTGTGTTTTCATTCCCCTCCCCTTTTTTTTTGTAAAACTTTGGACTTCTCTGTGCTTTCATACTTGGTCAAAAGTACTTGTCCTGGTTACTGCACTGTTTGGTGCATGGGAGAAGACCCATGGGGCGAAAGTGAGGACCCCTACCCCTTTTCCTGGTCTGTGGTCTCTGGCGCCTGAGTGGGGGCTTCTGGGAGAGGGCAGTTACATGTCCACCTGTATGTAGTGTGTTCTGTTTGTAAACTGCTGTGTTTTGAAGTTGTTTTGGGGTTGTTTTCTTTTTTTTGGTGTTGCTCTGTGAGAGGACATCGCCACCTGGTGCTCATGAGGTGTATGTGCAGAACAATAAATGGCAAATGAACAACCGCAAACTGCTTTTGGTAGATGAGTGACTTACACCTTAGAAGTTTTGTTTGTTTCCCTTTGACTCTGTAAGCAACCACAACCCTTCCACCAGATAAGGGGGGAGTCTTTTTTCTTTCATTCTTTTTTTGTTTCTACACTTTATTAATATATATGACCTGATTGGATTCTCTCTTCTCCCCATCTCCCCCCACTACCCCACCCTCCAAAGAAACTGACCACATGGTACATGTTCACTTCTTAAAGAACCTGTCCCCCTGAATAAAATATGATGCTTTTTTGGCCAGTTTTAGGGCTAGTATTCAGGGCCTGCGCATTGTCCCTGAGCTTCTTTTGTTCAAGGCTAGCACTCTACCACTTGGGCCACAGTGCCCCTTTGGGCTTTTTCTGTGTATGTGGTTCTGAGGAACCCAGGGCTTCATGCACACTAGGCAAGCACTCTACCACTGAGCCACATTCCCAGCCCTGGTGTATGTTTTAAGCATTTACAGGTGATGGTTTTTCAAAAACATGTTCGGTATTAGTCATAACAAGAAGAACACAAAGAGAATGCAAAGGTAGAACCACTTGACACCCATATCTGTAGTCCTGAGAGTGTGGTTTTCTTGGAGGCCAGGACTGGTCTTTTCCCAGCCACCAGCCCATGATGATCAGTGGGATCGCAGGCCTGTGGGGTCTGACTTGGTCAAGCATTTGATGGATATGAACTGAAGATGCCCAAGTTCTGATTTCATACGGATAAGCATTGAGACATGGTTCGTTGATGGAAGATTTTAATACATATTTACACATCGTTTTGTTAGTAGGCTTGTAGGGTTATACAGAACTCTTTTTGTTTCAATGGGCAGTTAGTTTGCTAAAAGCCTGAGAATCTTTGGCTCTATTTTAACTTTCTGACAGTCATTGTCAAAGAACTCATAGAGCAAAGTCAGTCCGTGTTTGCAGAAATATAGTTAATTCAGAACCCACAAAGGTTTAGAACATGCTGAAGAGGCAGGGTTAAGGTATAAAAATTACAGAATCAAATCTCAGCTAGACAGTAGGGAGTACCAGGCTCAAATTCAATTTGCTTTTCCATATCTCAGTGGGAAATGCATGAATCCCACAACTTGAGTACTCGAAACTCGTTAGATGGGTCTACTGTCAACACAAGCCCTTGGTTGGGAATGTTAACAAGGCAAAAACAAATTACCCTACCCAGAAGGTAACACTTAAGGCACTGAATTTGATGGATAAATACAGTATGGTTTTGTATTTTTTGGGGGGGGGAGGGGGTGTCCGGTCGTGGGGCCTGAACGCTGGTCCTGGGCGCTGTCCCTCAGCTCTTCAGCTCAAGGCTAGCACTCTACCACTTGAGCCACAGCGCCACTTCTGGCTTTTTTCTTTTTGTTTATGTGGTTCTGAGGAATCGAACCCAGGGCCTCATGCATGCAAGGCCAGCGCTCTACCACTGAGCTACCTTCCCAACCCTACAGTGTGTTTTAGAAATGTGATGGAGAGATACTGATAACATGGCGGCACTCACAATGAGATAAGACTGATATTAAAAATTTTGCAAAGCCACAAATACTGCCAGGTGACAGTCCCCAGCAAAGTCAGCCTGGAAACAGAAGTGATTGCCTCCAGTGGTCTATGGCTAAAGACACAGATTTTATTACATCAGCCCCCTTTATGAGTTAAAAAAAAATATTTCTTGGAGAGGACTTGAGGGACATAGTCAAGAATCTGAAGAGTGGTCTGATCTAAGTAAGTCCTTATGATGGGCCAGCTGGAAAAAGTAGAATTAGTACATATTTTTTTCCTTTGAGATGCCGTTAAGATAATCCAGGGAGATGACACAACTCATTAATGGGGAGCCTTTGAAGCTAAAAAGGCAGGACTTCCTGTGTCTTTGTAGGACTCTGTCCGCCTTTGGAAGCATGAAATCCAAGCTGCTTTCAAAACACAAAATACAGGGATGGCAGTGATTAAAGCAGAACCTCTTAAAAAAATCACAAATTGGAAACCACTAGAGATGCAAGAGTAAATAAAATGCAAGCCAGGCGCTGATGGCTCCACACCAGTAATCCTAGCTACTCAGGAGCCTGAGATCTGATAGCCAGCCCAGGCAGCAAAGTCCATGAGACTCTTTATCTCCAATAAACTACTCCGAAAAAGCCAGAAGTGGTACTCTGGCTCAAGTGGTAGAGTGCTACCCTTGAGCACAAAAAGATTCATGGGGCAGTGCCTAGGCCCTGAGTTCAAGTCCCAAGACTAGCCAAAAATAAAAAGTAAATGCAGTTTACAAATCCAGAGGTCTGCATTTCTCCCTCTCTTTACACGCATGCATTCCGGCGGAGACAATTAGGTAATAAACCAGAGAACAGATAACCGCATTTCTGGGTTAGCCCCTAGGATGGCCTTTGGATGAACAAATCACAATTGTTCTCTCCCAGCCCCACCCTTGCCCACAGAACCCTTTGCATTTCTAGCCCCAGCCACACCCCCACCTCCCCAGGTAAGGAAGTCACCCAGTGGTACCTGCTTTTTGTTGGCCTTGTCACTCCAATACTTGGGAAGGTGACAGTCGAAAGAGCAGTAATGAAGGTCATGCTTGAAAGACAGACAGGGGTCTGACAAGCCCAGAAAGGGCTTTCCCCCTGCCCTACCCCAATCTGGAGAGATTTAAGCTGGACCTTGCCCTTGCTCTTGGTTGTGACTATCTCCAGAGGTGGCAAAACCCTGCCTTTCCTCCTCCTCCTCCTCGATTGCCTGGTATCCTTTCTTCTTATACTTCCGGATGCCGTAGAGGACCAAAGCAATCGCAGCTGCCAGGCCGATGGTGACTGCTAATGTGACTCCAGCCACTGCCCCTCTAGACAGGCCACTTCCGTCGCCGTAGACGACGGTCATTGCTCTCCGCAACTCCAGCGGCTCCCCCAGCCTCCACTGGTGGGTCTGGGAGTCTTTAATCCAGGATTTGGACCCCTCGGTGTTGGTCACTATGACTGTGTTGGTGGCAGCCTGGCTCATAAGAGGCGGCCGAGTGTAAGGCGGGAGCCTGGCAGGGGGCAAAAGGCCACTGGTAAAGACTCCGGCCTTGACGCAGTAGGAGATTTGGCAGCCATCGCTGATGAGGGCCAGGTGCTGGCTGAAACCCCCAGGACATTTCTGCAATGAGGGTACACCGAGGTCCCTGGACATAGCCGAATTCACCAAGGGGTTGCCCACAGCACAGCTGAAGAAGCCACCAAAGGGAACTGAGAACTTATATCCCAGCTCGTAGTCCTGAGAGGCACACACCTTGAGACTCTCAAACAGGCTCAGTGGGATGTAGCCAGCCGGGCACGACTGGGCATTCGTCAAGGGGTTCATGCTCTTGCTACTGAAAAGACCCCCAAAGAGAAGTCCAGAGTTTTCAGATACCTGCCCATGCGCCGCACACCAGAAAGCCCTAAATTCAGCCTTCGCCACTCGGAACACATCCTCACACACCGTCTTACAGAAGATGTAGAGGGTGCATTTCCGTCGACAGTCGAGGTGATTGTAACCCTCCTCGTGGATCTGGGACAGGAGATGGACCGCGTGGTAGCCGGAGGGACAGGAGAAGTTGCCCGTGAGTGGATTCTTCTGCTCCAGGTTCTGACAGAGAGCCACCTCGCTCCCCGAGAGTTGGGTGCATTCCTGATACACCCCACCAAACGAGAAGTTGGTCATCTTCCCCTCGCAGGAGCCATCATCTGTATTGGCCTGGAAATTGAAGTTGGGGGAATTGACATCGGTACAGCCAGGGTAGGTATTAAAGGCATAATAGCGTCTCACGGCACTTTCTACCGTCTTGGACAGCTTCTTCACCAAGGGACCAGGCAAGGCAGGCAGCTTGTCCGGCTTGATGAAGAAATACAGAGGCAGGCCAGCGCGGTCCACCGCCACCAAGTGGTTGGTGATGCCCTGCTGCCAGGCTTGGAGGGTGATCCCGGGGTAAAATGGTACCCCTCCGATGCTCTGCACCCTGGAGTGGGTGCGGTTCGCCAGATAGCCTTTGGTCAAGGCATTCTGGGAAGTGTAGTTGTCCTCCAGTTTGGAGTTCACGATGTTCAGGAAGGTGATTCCCGCAGCCGCCGTGATGGCCGCGTGGCTGCTCTGGCCTTCCTGGAGGAAGGTGGTCCTGAGGTGATCTTCCTGAACAAGAGCAGCTCCGGCGTGCACGCTGGTGATGACGTGGGTGCCGTAGTTGAGGACCAGGAGTTCAGCCAGGTAGGTGGCCATCCTGGTCTGGTTGTTCTCCAGCCGGTCACAGATGTCCATGAGCTCCTTCTTAAACTCCCAGCTGAGCTCTGAGGTGGGGTTGATCTTGGCGGTGTAGACCAGGTTTCTGACTTGCACTCGGGTGGTGATGGCTTGCTCTTTCACTTGAAGGGTCTTCATCCTCTGGAACTCAGCAGAGAACTTGCCGTTGACCTTGGAGAACAGGGAGAGCTCAGCGTTGATGGACGATGCGGTGCTGCTCTGGTAATTCATCCAGGATTCCAGGATTTCAGAATTCATCTCCAAGTCGCTCTGTTTCTGTGGAATGGTGTAGACAGCGTCGGGGATAATGTACTGTCCATCCTCTGTGGTCTTGCAGTGGGTGTAGGTCAACTCCAACACCCGTCCCATGTCCACATTCCGCAGATTATCCCAGCCCCCTCCGGGCAGGACCTCCAGGACCGGTAGTTTCAAGGCATTCTTGCAAGTTTGAAATCCGGTCTGATCAGTCTCTCCCAGAGACGGGTCTGATCTCACACAGGTAGCTACAGCCCAGAAAAGGACAGCTTCCCTCCAGCCTCCCATGACTCAGACAAGCTGGCCTCACACTAGCCCTGAGCAATGGCCAGTGGATGGTGCAACCTGAAAAATGGCAAAGAAAGCTGCTGTTCAAAACAGAAATTTCAACAGTCCTCCCAAAGCCACCAGTTAGTTCCTCTTTAGGCTGGATCTACTTCTCAAATGGGGAAATGAGAGTTGGTAGGAATATTACGGTCTACTGGAACTTTGAATAAAAATTACACTGTATTAAGATAGGCCAAAAAAAAAAAAAACCTCTAAATCCCTGAAAGGTCACTTACCCTGTGTTCTGTTCCCCTCTCTCACACACCAACACACACTGGCTAATCTACAGGCGATCTGCTTTGTTCTCCTAACTCAATATTACTCCCTTGGCTTGGCCTAATGACTATCCTTCCCCCAGGGGATCGTTCCAAAATTGTTCAGCCTGGTCCCCTGCCCAGAATCTTAATCTAAATATAAAATTCCACTTCCCTAACCCTAGATTATTTAGGCACCTGAATTGCTAGAAGCACAGAAACTGGGGCACGGGACTTAAACAATAGGTTCCCAGACTGCACCACAAACTCACCAAACTCTTTGAACCCTCAGCTACCCGTGACGCTACCCCCCACCCTTAGAACAGTGTAGCTCCCAGTGACCCTGCCCCCTAATTATTACCCTACTTCCACCCCTCCACCCCTGCCCCCAGCATACCATGCCTCCAGTCTCCTGACTCTCCTCTGGTCACCATGGGGTCCCTCTCCCACTCTCCAGTAAAGTTGCTCCGGTCCATGGAGCTCCTACTCTGCTCTTTCTTTATTCTAATACCCTTGTGATTCCATTTGCTAACAATGAGCACCCAGAAAAAGTATGATCTCCTACCTCACCGCGTTCTTCCCCAGAATTTGGTTGGGCTTTGCATTCAATCTCTAGGACTCAGTTTTGAAACTCTCTCCTGCCTGTTCTCTCCTGGAGCTCCACAGTCAGTTTCTTTTTCCTAGAAATGCAAATGCTAGTTGCTACATCATCCTTTTCTGAGGTGCCCCGCCTCCAAGAAATCCAGACTAGCTGTGGGACAAGGCCCAACCCTTAGATTTCCCATTGGCCTTGGGCCGGAGGTTGTTTCCACCCAAGAATGGGAGTGAAAACCTTGGATGCACTCCTTGTGAAAGCTCATTGTTTTAGGGCCTCATGGCCCTGACTTTGGATATGGCTTTATCTGGGGGCAGACTTTAAAGGACAGGAAGTGGAGTCTGCTTGCCATCTACAGGAAAACCTTAGTCTTCCTTGCATAAAGCATTCAGAGTGCACATGAGAGGGCCCCACACTACTGCCATTTCCTTTCAGATAGAAATGTTCAAACCGCCCCTCCCCCAAAAAGAAAAAGAGCAAGAAATGTTCAACCAAAAACAAAAGTCGCATGATAATCTATTTTTTGAATTATACAGATTTTCAAAGTACCCACTGGCCACAGAATACATGTGTGTCTGCACACACACATTTATCTTCTCCATACATGTGGTCAGCAGTAAGTATCTTTGTAGCTATACCTTTCATTTTTCATCTCTTTGTGAAGTACATGCAATCTGTATAGGTGCATAAAATGAAGTATGATTCTCCATTACTCAGTTATTTTATATGAGTCACGATTCATTTGTTACGCCCTTACGAGAACATAACTTCATAAATTGCCTTTTGTGTGAAAGCTGGTGCCAGGTTTCTTTGACCTTATAAATTAGAATGATATTTCCAGACTCAAGGACCAAGGACCAGGATGAACTAAAACCTAGCCCCATTAATTGTTTG